AGCCTGCCCACTTGTGGCAGGCACCTTTTGCCACCGTGGCGTTCCGCGCCTTGGCCGCCAGTTTCCTGGGACTCCTAGAGTTGCCAGCCGCAATTGCACAGCCTGCCGGAGTCCTGTGTACAGACCCTGTACGGTCTATCGGCCTCTGTGCAGGCGGATCGCATTCCGCCTAGCATGTAGCTCATTAGCTGCGGGTAATACCCAGCTCCATCTACGGGCTTGGGGCTCAAGGCTGCTGCGCTCTCTTATTTTGTCAAAACTCTCTCTCTTTTTGGCTCTTTTGCCTTTAGTTACTCAGAAACTTTTAATAGAATTGTTAGACACACCTTTGAATATTTTCTCAGCCCGAGGCCCGCTGTTACATGACCATTGGCTATTGCTAGCGTGCTTGCTTACCTGTCCTGTAACCTTGGGAACGGATTTTAGCCGGGAGCTAGCTGCGCCCAGCCTGTTCTCTTTGGCAAAAATTAAAGTTCCCTGCATGTGAGAGTCAGGGACTGAGTTTTAAAATAGTCTAAAACATCTCTTGTGCAGTGTCATCTTAATCCTGGTACCTAGTCTCTTTACGAATTTTAGCAGCTGATTTGCCCACTGGCCTTCAGCTCCGGATCAGACCTTTCGGCACCCATACTTCTAAAAATCAAGCTCATTCACCCCCTTATCATATGTGCACAATTGCACACTACTAAACTGGCCAGATTCCGGATCGTGGTGGGACCCCTACCTCTTTGGGGTTCTCGTGGTGGAGCCACAGACGGCAGAACGCGGTTCTTCAGTCCTTATTCAAAGCCCACCCAGAGACGCCATCTGTAAGCTTCCGCACTTTTCTGTGGACACCCGAACCTCGAAACAGGCGCACGCTTTTCCTGACTCGAGCCCACGAGAACGGACGACTGTCCTAGGGGTTAAAACACATGACACACACACAAAGAGACCGGGCTCATCTGCCAAGGAGCAAGTGGCAAATGGCAGCTTTATTAAGCATAAGTCGGGTATATATACTGTGGGGCAGAAAGACACCAGCCCCCCATCAGGAACAAGGAAAGAGAAAAGTCAGGGGGCCCGCACCCAAGGTCAGAGAGCAGCTGAACAGAGAAAAGAGGAAGCCAGGTGGGCGTGCTCAGGCTCACAGAAAAGCTGACCGGGAACCTTGCCTGCGGGCGAGAACCTTGCTTGCAGGTGGAATTACCATGACAGTAGAGGGAGAGTTCTCTCTGAGCTACACCCTTGGGCCGTAGGTGAAATTAACATAACAAGAGAGGGCAGTTCTATGCTACACCCTCAAGCTGATGCAGTGGAACCAGGAAGCAGAACAGCCCTGCAAAGCGCCTCGGGAAAAATGGGGAACCTGTGTACCTACACTCCACCCTAGAAAAGCAGCTGCCGCTTGGCTTTTCGCTCTCTCTCTCGTTCCCCATTCCCCCTTCAACCGAGTGGCTCCAATAAAGTGGTGATTTGGGAAGAATTCTCTATTTCGTGGTCGTTCCTGCTTGCTGGTCAAGGGGCGCGCCACACAGTATTTGTGAGTTATTGTTTTTAGAAAATTGTATCAGTGTTGATTTTTGTACATTGATATATTGAATGTTGTATGTGAGTATGTTTCTACCTCTATTTGTATTAATATATATACATATATTTACATTCCTACCTCTGATTAAGATATTTATACACATTGTTTACATTTGGAGGTCATTGTCCTCACTCATTGCACAGTTGTTCATTCTCTTAGTCTTCAAGTTAGATAGAAATCAATAGTCATATATGTTTATTATATTTATATTTAGGCTAATCAGGTTATTTAGGTGCATAGAGATTATACTTAGTATAGATAGTATAATCTTCAACCTCTTTGAAGTGCTGTGGAAAATGGCCTTTAATCTAACTCATAGTTCTATAGTAGTGAGACACAATCGCTCCTGGCATCACCGCTCTACTTCCAAGAGAACGTTGAGCACCAAAGACACTCCACATGGAGCTTGTCTTCTTCCTGGCAGAACTGGCCTTTGGGCAAAGAAAAAGCCCATACCTCAACCACTGACAGAATTACAGAATATCCGTAAATGGATAAAAGCAGGATTGTCTTATCTTGCCAAGACAGGATGAGAGAGTCCTAAAAGATTTTTTGCCTTTGAAAAATGGCATGTCAGTTACATCAGGCCTTAGCCAAAGTTGGTTGACTCAACATTGCATGCGAGACTTTGGGTGATTGCCCAGGTATTCAGTTGTCTCTTCCATTCGTTGCACATTTCGGAAGTTTCCCGCTTGTACTTCCAGGCTGCTTGAGTAAAATTATTTCCCTTCTCAGATCTTTGATGGAGTTGAAGATTAGATAGTTGCAGTTACCATCTACATTATTTAGACTCCCTGAGATAGAATGTTTAGCAGAACTTTTGTTATATGTTTCTTGCTTAACATTGTTTGTTGTTTGTAACGTTCGATTTATTATTTGCTTCTATTGTTTGTAGTTGTATTTGGTTTGGTTCTGTCTTATTTTAGAAAAAAAGGGGGAGATGATAGGGGAGTTCAGCCAATCATATTCTGTTTTTGGGGCATGCCGCCCTCAGGCTAAAGCCTGCCTATAAACCTAGCAAGCTCTCTGCTAGCTCTCTTTTTCGCCTGGCTCCTGCGTCCATCCGTACAGATCATTTGGATTCTGGCGTAAGCTGTTGTAAGTCTTACTTCTGTTTATTAAAGCTGTATATTTTGTATCAAGATAGTCTGGGGACTTTTCATTACCAATGGCCCTGTGCCTACAAAGGGCCTTAGAGAGTTTTGCAGGCCCTTTTGAATTTGGGGAAAAGAGAGAGAAGGACAATCAGGTGTTTTTTTGTTTGTTTGTTTGTTTGTTTTGTTTTTGTTTTTTTTTGCTGGGTGGTCGTGGCACATGCCTTTAATCCCAGCACTCAGAAGGCAGAAGCTGGCGGATCTCTGTGAGTTCGAGGCCAGCCTGGTCTACAGAGCGAGTTCCAGGACAGGCTCCAGAAAACTACAGAGAAACCCTGTATCGAAAAACAAACGAAAAACACAAACAAAAAACCCAAACTGAAACAAACAAGAAAACAAACAAACAAACAAAAAACCCCAGGTTTTTACCCAAATATTTGACTCCTGAGTTTTTTGGGTTTTTTTGTTGTTGTTGTTTGTTTGTTTGTTTTTTAAGACAGAATTTCTCTGTGTAGTTTTGGAATGTGTCCTGGCACATTCTGTAAACCAGGCTGACCTTGAACTCATGAAGATTTTTGCCTGCCTCTGCCTCCCAAGTGCTGAGATTAAAGGTGTGCACTACCACTGCCCAGCTCCAAGTTTTTTTATAATAGAAAAATTTAGATAAACTCATCAGACATATGCTAAAAACCTAACCACCCAGAATAGTCGTGTATAGCTGTCATTCTTTCTATTGGGGGGCAGAGGAAGAAGGATGAACAATTTAAGACCAGCCTCAGCCGCATAGTGAGTCCTGGGCTAGCCTCTGCTACTTTATGGTGTACTTGAATCCAAGATACTTCCAAGAAGAGCACCATGGAGCCACACTTCCGGATGCAAAATCAAGGTTTTGTTTATTAAGTACAGGCTAGCACAGGTCCTCTGCCTCACAGTTCGACACAGCAGATGGAGGGAGAAGCACCCTGTCTACTATTGCAAGGGGTTTATAAAGATGAAAACCACAATGCAGTCACAAGGTTACAGTCTCAAAATAAAAATTACTTCTCCTATATCACAATTGGCTACAGGTGAGGTAAAGCTCAGCTGTTAGTTCCTGATAGGATATTAGTATCTAAGGGGCATAGCAACAGCACCCTGGTTACATCCTCCAGACATCTGCTGACCCTGTGCTAACCGCAGGGGCTGCTCGAAATATTGCCCAGCTGTTGGGGGAAGTAGGGTGGGGGATGGGCTGCAGCCAGCAACTTTGTTTCCCTGTTAGCTAATACTCCCCTAAAGAGGGTCTTATGGCCTTAGCTTATCCTGGGGGTTGGGGTGTAGTTCAAGGTCCCCAAAGGGCCCAGCACAGAAGTGGAATCTTTTCCAGCTTTCACTTTACACCCTGTCTCACAACAAAAGCTGGCAGCTATGTAACTTGAGAGGCAAACGTGGCAGGCTCAAAGTCAGCCTGGTTCCAGGTCATCCAGGATTACGGACTGCACCTGGCATCAAGCTTGTTGTCGGCAAGCGTCTTCACCCAGCGAAGCCCGATGACCTGAGTTCAGTCCGCATGGTGGGAGGCCAGAACCAGGGAACAGACCCTGAAAGCTATCCTCTCTCCTCCACACGAGCTCCCTAGTGTGGGTGGCTGCTTACACAAAATAAATTAATGTAAAAAAAGTAACAACTATAGTATTGATAACAACAGTAACAATAATTTCCATATTGCTGGGGTGCGCTGCACTGTGTTTGTTGTTTGAATAAGTGACTACATAGGCAGATAATAAAGTCATGGGTGAAATGCGTCACCAATCTGATCCTCAGCCTCGTGAGCAGAAATGCAGAAATGCAGGTTCCCAGCAAGTGGCACTATTTCCGCTGGAGGAAATCAGTCCTAAGGAAGTGATGCCATTTCTGTCTCAGCACCACCTAGGAAGAAATCTCACTTTGCACCGAAGGAACCTCAGGCTCTGAACCAGGATTCCTCAAGAAGCCTGTTTACCAGTCACTGTAAGATGATTTCAGCTCAGGAAGTCTAACCCTGACTCCATTCGCTCATTCCCTGATGTGTTAGTGATGACATTTTTGTGTCACTGTGCCCACAGTATTTACCTTGAATCCCCCAGTGAGGGGCTGGGAGCATGGTCAGGGTGGAGCCCCGCCTTGAATCCCCCAGTGAGGGGCTGGAGGTGTGGTTAGGGTGGAGCCACGCCCAGAATCCCCCCAGTGAATGACTGAGGTTCTGCATTCAATCCTCATTACCACAAAAAAAAAAATAATAATTTAAATTGAACAGTCTAAAAAGAAACCGAGAGCCACTGGAAAATAGTTGAGTCAGACTAGAACTCAGGGTAGGGGTAAGCCGGCCACCGGTCAGAGGCTGCCACTGGGCTGCGACCTCTGACACTAGAGCACCAAACCAGGTTTATTGCTGGAGGCGGCTGTGGGTGGCAGCCACCCTCCCAGTGACCCCGTGAAAAGCCCTCCTCCTGGCTCACTGGCGCTCTCCAATTGGTCCCCAGCAGCTGTCTCTGGACACCTGTTGCTGTCAGTCACAGACCACCGGTCCCTGTGCTATCTTGATTGTCAGGCCCAGCTCGGAGACTGTAGGGTAAGAGGGGCTGCGGGGGAACCTGGATAGGGTTGTGGCTCCTAGAGCTTGGTAAGGGATCCCTGAGGTCCCTTAGGGTCCCCTATTCCAATGACCAACCCCCACATTAAGGGAGGGGCCAAATTCCCTGCCTCACCTGTGTTTGGGTCCCGTCCCCCAAGAGAGGAAACTTCTTCTATGGTTTTACTTTTATTTCACTTTTAAATGATATTTTAAATTTTTTAGTTTTTGTAAGTGGACAAGAGAAGGTATGTGCTGAGGGGCACGCGCGGGCAGCAGAAGACAACCTGAGGACTCCAGCCTTTCCTTCCAGCTGAGGGTGGTGGAGATTGAAGGGCCCGGCCGCGGCTAGCCTTTAATCCCAGCACTCGGGAGGCAGAGGCAGGCAGATCTCTGTGAGTTCAAGACCAGCCTGGTCTACAGAGTGAGTTTCAGGACAGCCAGCGCTACACAGGGAACCCTGTCTCAAAACCACGCCCCTTACAAAGGGAGGTGATTGGAGGATTGAATTCAGATTATCAGGTTTGGCTGCAAGCTCTTGTACCCGTTGAGCCATCTTGCTGGCTCATACCCTTCCTATTTTTAAAGTGTTTCTGTCGGGGCATGGAGATACAGGGGGCAGCCAGTGGCCATGTATTGCCCCCCTCCTCCCCATAAACTAAACCTGTGTCTGGCATCCAGCTGAGCAGAGCCCCTGGTCCCAGTTTCTCTGTGTGCCCTATAAAAACCGGGGCAAGAAGGCTGGTGCCGTGATTGGAAAATCCTCAGGACCCCGTCTGCCCCTCCGCTGTCACACTGAGGGCTAGACTGGGCGGGCCGTTGAGGCTTCAGCTAGGGGGTTCAGTGCTAGGAAGCCTGCTCTGGTAGACTGGGAGCAAGAGTCTGGGGAGGGGTTGGGCTGCCAGACTGACCTCTCCTGCTGGCGTGAGACACCCGATAAAAATAGCCTATGGTCTCAGAGAATTTGAGCTGGCTCTGCAGAGCAGGGCTCCAGCATGGGCCTTGGGTTCATTCCTGTGTAGTCTTGGGTGAGCTCTGGGCCTCTCAGGACCTTGGTTTTGTTCCTTGCTGTACTGATGGACTCTGGGGGTCTTCCCACGGTTGGGGGAAGGGGTCCCAAGGAAATGCTGAAGTCATGCAAGAGTATGAATTTCTGCCCAGCATGTGGCGCACACCTTTAATCCCAGCACTCTGGACTCAGAGACAGGCGGATCTCTGTGAGTTTGAGGTCAGCCTGGTCTACAGAGTGAGTTCCAGGACAGCCAAGGATACACAGAGAAAACCTGTCTTGAAAAAACAAAATAAAAGGAGCAAGAATTCCTCCAGTGAAGGCAAAGATTAGGTAAGACCACGTCCTGACGTCCTGACTCCCTGCCCACTCTGCAGTCCTCATGACAGCCAGAGGCTTGGACGATCCGGATGGGGGCCTGGGCAGCTGCTTCCCCAGCGATGACTTCTCGTTACTGGAGGAGCCAAGCTCAGGCCGGCGGCCAGACGGCAGGGCACAAGGTACCGCGACTGATGGGAGAGCCTGGTTGCTCCGCTTTGGAGACCAACACTTAATCTCCCAGCCTGGTCCGAGACAAGCGCTTTTAGGGGTTGGTTCCTAGGTTCTGGGTTGGAAGCTACAAGGAGACATTGCTGCATCTCTGAGCCCCATGTCCCTTGTCATTTGTACAGGAAGCTGCAAATTGCCTGGCGGTGTGTGGGTGGAGGATGGGGTGGAGATGGTCAGGGGTGGTAAATGCCCTACCGTTTTGATTCTTCATCTGTTTCAACAACAGGGGCATCCAGGCTGGTGGACTCTAGTCGCTGGACACCTGTGAGTAGCTGGCCCTGGAATCTGGGGACAGGCTGCTAAAGGAATGGCTGTCTCCGTTCTTCACCACCTCTCTTCTTACCTCCCTCTCTTCCTCCCTCCCTCCCTCCCTCCCTCCCTCCTTCCCTCTGTCCCTTTCTTCCTCCTTCCCTTCCTCCCTCCTTCCCTCCCTTCCTCCTTTCTTTATTTTTGAGTTAGGGTCTCATGTAGCCCAGGCTGTCTTCGAACTCAAATCTCAGGAATGATCCTGAGCTCTGAGCCTTGCACCCCCTTTCCAAGTCCTGGGGTGACAGGCAGGCACTGTCAGACCTGGTGTGTATAGTGCTGGGGGAGCTACAACCCCAGCTTCCTTTAAAAAATTTTTTTCCAGTTGGTCAGTGGTGGCGCACGCCTTTAATCCCAGCACTCCGGAAGCAGAGGCAGGTGGATCTCTGTGAGTTTGAGACCAGCCTGGTCTACAGAGGGAGTTCCAGGACTGCAGGGCTACACAGAGAAACCCTGTCTCAAAAACAAGAAGAAAAGTTTTTTTTTCTTCATTTTTGTTTTATGTTTATGGATGTTGATTTGTATTTAATTTTTATCTTTTTTATGTGTTTTGCCTGCATACATGGGTATCTGATGCCCTCAGAAACCAGAAGGGGGCATCGGATCCTCTGGAACTGGAATTACAGGTGGTTGTGAGCTGCCCCGTGGGTGCTGGGAATGGAACATGGGTTCTCTGTGAGAGCTGCCTGTGCTATAACCACTGAGCCATCTCTCCAACTTCTAATGTGTATGTATGTGTATACATATTTGTATATATGTATGTATATACATGTATGTGTTTTATATACTTGCATATATACACATGCATATATCTGTACTTATCTGCATGTCTATATATGCATACACATATACATATATATAATTATTTATACGTGTATGTGAACATGTACAGCAAGAGATCAGAGGCCATCTTCCTTGAATCTGCTTTCTCCTTTACTAAGGGTTGTGTCTCGACCTCCTGGGTGTTGAGATTACAGAATGAATCACTACAACCCGCTTGTGGGGAGGTGGTGTTCCACAGCCCCCTCCCCGGGAAATCTGGACTGATATCCCGCGTGTTTCTGACACCCTACAGGTCCTCCAGGACCCAGTGACTGCTGGCATTGCGGAGAAAGAGCTCGTGGCCCAGGAGGACCTGGGAACCAGCAAAGGGATGCCTAAAGCTGGGACAAGTGGGTTTGCTCAGGGAGGACGAGTGGGCGGGGATGGACCTGCAAGGAACTAGGTGCACCCTGGGGCGGGGCAGGAGCCACAGGCGACCAAACGCTTGTCTCCGCAGGCCCCCGGAGCATTCCCGCACGCAGAAAGTTGCAGGCTGCGCCCCCCTTGAAGCCACTGCCACCGCCACCACCTAGTGACGACCTGCCTTGGGGAGACCTGACGCTCAACAAGTGCCTGGTGCTGGCCTCACTGGTGGCACTGCTGGGCTCGGCTGTCCAGCTGTGTCAGGGTGAGCTTTGCAGAGGACGGATTGGCCTGCAGCAGGGGTAGGGACAGTGAGAGTCCTCTCCAAAGGAGTGGGGTGCATTCCCTGCAGCCATGTGCGGGCAGTGATTCCACTGTTCCTACAACCCTCTCCCTACCTCGGGAATAGCCTGTGAGTCGCATGGTCACACCTAGGTTTCCAAGCCTGCCTTTGGGGTGCTCTGGGCTCAACTGGCATGCATTCACTCATTCATTCATTCATTCATTCATTCATTTTGAGCCAGAGTCTCACTGTGTATCTTTGGCTGGCCTCTGTAGACTCAGAGAAATTCACCTCCCTCTGTACCACACCCAGACTTTTTTTTTTTTTTTTTGAGACAAAGTTTCATATAGTCCAGGCTGGCCTCAAGCTTTCTATATAGCCCAGGCTGGCCTCTGATCTCCCTGCTTTGAACTCCCAAAAGCTAGAATGACAGGAGTACACTTTAAACCCAGGCTTTTTTTGTTTGTTTTTGAGTCAAGGGCTACTTTATATAACACAGATTAGCCTGGGTCTCATGGCAATCCTCCTGTCTCAGCATTCTCCAGCCAGAATGACGGGCATGTGAGACTGAACCTGGTTCTCACTCCTTCAGTAGAGAAGGGTCCTACATAGTCCACCCCAGGGCTAGACACTCCCATGCAGAGAGAGGGGGAGAGAGGGAGAGAGGGAGAGAAGAGAGAGAGGGAGAGAGAGAGAGGAGAGAGGGAGAGAGAGGAGAGAGAGGGAGAGAGGAGAGGAGCGAGGGAGAGAGAGGAGAGAGAGGGAGAGAGGAGAGGAGAGAGGGAGAGAGAGAGGAGAGAGGGAGAGAGAGGGAGAGAGGGAGAGAAGAGAGAGAGGGAGGGAGAGAGAGGAGAGAGAGGGAGAGAGGAGAGGGAGGGAGAGAGGAGAGGGAGAGAGGAGAGGAGAGAGGGAGAGAGGAGAGGAAAGAGGGAGAGAGAGAGGAGAGAAGAGAGAGAGAGAGGAGAGAGAGGGAGAGAGGAGAGAGGAGAGAAGAGAAAACGGGGGTCTCTAGGAGGAGGGGGTATCCCGGTGGCAGGAGCGTGCGGTAGATGGCTGAAGTGGGTTGTTCTGGGGCTGAGTGGGAGGATAAGCAGGATGCGCTCTGTCCTCCAACCCCGACCGACTGACTTTCAGACGCGGTGGCTGGGGAGGTGGCGGTGGAAGTCCCTCAGCACCGGGTCCCGCCCAGTCCTCCACCCAAGAAACCAGAGGCGCCCGCGGTAAGCCTTTCTTCCTGGGCCTTCACCTGATGGGGCTGCTTTCCAGGAAAAAGAAGGCCGGGCCTGTGGGGAGATGGGCGGGGACCCCAAGAACACACCTTGTCTTTCCGCAGCCTAAGCCCCCGCTCTTGGTGCCCCCATCCGGGCCTCCTGAGCCCATGCCTGGGCCACCCGAGCCCCAGGTACAGAAGCAGGACAAGCCTGAGGCTACAGAAGCAGAAACCCAGGGGGAGCCCGGGGGGTCCACCCCAGAGGCCTCTGGGGAGGAGTGCGCACCCCTTGGTGGCCGAGGGTCCCAGGAGAGGCCGAGGAAAAAGTCAAAGAAAGGAGAGAAGCTAAAGGAGGAGAAGCTGAGGAGAAAGAAGCCCAGGAAGGAGGAGAGGCCCTGGGTCACCAGGGAGCCCCGCCAATCTCTGTCCCAGCGCTGGGAGGCGCGCAAAGGAGGCCATCGGCCGTGGACGCGGTCCTCCAGGGAACTCGAGCACGAGAAGCAGCAGGCCTGGGCTCCCCGGCGACTCCACGACCGTGACGACCGACCCAGACAGAAGCCCCGTGGGGGAAAGGGGCGCGACTGATCCTGCCCCTGTCCTCCTTGGTGAACCCCGTGTCCCTTTTCCCTACAGCACCAGTAAATAAAGCTCGTGCTGCAACAGCCACGCTTTCTGCTCCTTTGTGCCTGGACCCCAAGGGACGAAGAAATGGGGGTGGGTCGGCGAGATGGCGAAGTGGGTAAAGGTGCTTGCCGCTGAGCCTTTGTCCTGGGACACACTCCCCTCCATTATCCTGACCTCCATCAACCTGTTGTGTTGTGTGATGGCTTCATAAGCGGCCTGGCTTGAAGTTCTGACACCCCTGTCTCCACCTCCAGAGACACCTGCGCCGCCACGTTGGCATGTTTTTTTCTCAGGTTTGAGCCTGTGTAGGGGAGGGGGGGGGAGTTGGGATGTGCAAGCGTCCTTTAAGCCTGAGCTGTTTGTCTAGCTCCCCGTTTTTGGACTTTGAAACAGGGTTTTACTCTGTAGTTCAGGATGACTCAAAGCAATTCTCCTGCCTCAACCCTCCCCTCCACACATACAAATTAGTTAACTAATTTAAAAAGTGACATGGTCTGAGAGTTTAATGCCAGCATTGGGGAGGTGGGGGTCGGTTGGCTCTCGGTGAGTTCGAGGCCAGCCTGTTCTGCATAGTATGTTCCAGAATGGTCTGTACTACATAGAGAGACCCTGTCTTTAAAAAGCGATGGAGATGGAGCGCATTCTCACGGACTGGGTGGTGTGTGTACGTGTGTGAATATCTTGCACTTGAGAAGGGAGGTGACAGGAGGTCCCTCCACCCACAGACACCCCAGCTGAGTGTTTGCTGATCTTTATTGGAGTACTGACAAAGCAGGCGTCACCGGCAGCCGCACTCGGTGGCCACCATGTTAGGCACGTGATGCGCGCTGATGCGTTCCTCAGACAGGCTGATGAGCAGCTTGCCCGCGTAGGCAGTGGGCACGCAGCAGGGTAGGCGCCCCAGGGCAGCCCCGCGAGCCTGCATCTTCAGCAGGAGCACCACGTGGTTCCCGTAGTGCGGGTTGCGGTCGGACTGTGGCCACGCGCAGGCGCCTTGGCAGTTGTTGGCCTGGTAGGTCTCAGGGATGAGCACTGAGCGCTCTGCCCGCAGGTCTACGCTCAGCTCGCGCAGCCCGCACGGCCCTTCTGCGGCTGTCTCCACACTGCGTCCCGCCCTCCCGCGCCCTTCCCTCCCACGCCACTCAGCACGCAGGCCCTGCAGTGCCTTCAGTAGCAGCAGCGCGCGCAGCGGGTCCCCGGGGCTGTTGGAGTCGTTGGGGCACAGAGCCAGCAGGCGCGACAGCAGAGGGGGCGCAGCGGGTGGCAGACCGGGAAGGCCACGCAGCTCTGAGGCAGCCGCCTGCAGCTCCACGGCTACCCTGCGTGCCAGGCCGGCTGCCCAGGGAGCAGAGGCGGGGCCCTGCAGCGGCGTGGGGTCCCCCACGGTGGCTGCAGTGGAAGACAGCAGCAGTAGCAGGGGTTCCTCCCCATCGAGCAGGCATTCCAGCGCCGCGGGGTCCGACAGGTTGACCAGGCCCTGCGGGAAGCTGGCCAGCGCCCCAGGGTCCAGGGCCAGACGCGTGTGAGAGGCTCGGGTCGGGGGTCCCCGCAAGGCACGCACCAAGCGGGTGAGAGTCTCTAGGAAGGGGTCGGCGCTGTGTGGCAGCTCCTCCGGCTCTAGGGGCAGCCTGGAATAGAGGGCAGTGAGCCAACCTTGAACATAAGAGGCTGTGGAGGGAGCATTTCCTCCTCCCCACATCTTCCCAGTTCCAACTCCAGCCCGGCCCTGCGCACACCTGGGCGGCGGGAAGGGCATGGTGTCCAGCTGGCCATGCGCTGGCTGCATTGATGACTGGGTAGGCGGCAGCAACAACAGGGTAGGGGTCATGCGTGTGAAACAGCGGGAGTCAGAGCCAAACAGAAAGGCCTGCAGCTGGGTGATACTCAGGGTGGCACCTGCGGAGGATGAGCACGTGGCTAGCTGAGGGAAAGGGCTAAGGGCAGCCTCTTTTCACACCGGCCCCTCCCCTCTGCCTGGACCTGCCCGGACCTACCTTCTTTGCGTGGCTGAAGAGTTAGGGCGAGGCCAGGGCCACTCCAGGCCTCTGCTGGGAAATCCACAACCAGCACCAAATAGCGGGTGTCCCGTGTAGGGCAGAGGTTCTGTAGACATCGGGACTCTGCTGGACTAAGGAGGATGGCCAGGCTACCAGGCACACCCATCCCATACTGGGACCTTGTGTACTAGAGACCCCAGGAACCCTTCTATTAGGCAGATCTTTATACACCCCAACCAGACGGCTGTTCGGGGATGGCCCCATGCCACTCCCAAGTACCTGTGTGCCCTGCAGTCCAGTCCCTGTGACGGTGACCTGGGGGCCGGATCCCGGGTAGAGCACCAGCAGGGCCTGCTCCCAGCGGATGGCTCCCCCACGTGGAGGCTCTTGGAACTTAAGCAAGAGCGTGGGCTCCCATATCACTGTGGGCCAAATACTGGTTGACAACTGAGTCTGAAGCCACCAGCTTCCATCCATCCCTCAAGACCTGTCCTACAGAGTCCCTCAGCTGGAATCTGACTGGAGATCTGTGGCCATGCAGGCCTGAAGGACCCTGATCCCAGACGTGAAGTGAAGTGAAGTGAGGACCTTGCTTGAAGGGACTCGGTGACCCCTTGCCTGGGATGGAGTTGGGGTGTTGTGCTCTGCCATCAAGGCTGTGCCTGGCAGTCAAGCAATGGGACCTCCCCGCAACCTCCCCCAGGTCCTTGGGATGAGCTTCAGGTTGTACCAGGCGCAAGGCCTATCACATACCTTCAGTCAGATGCAGGACCAGCAATTGCTGCCCCCCAGGCTCCCCTAGCCAGGCCCCAAGGTGCTGCAGGACTGGCAGGGCAGCCTGGGCATCAGGACTGCAGACTCCAAAGGTGGCCAGGTTTTGGGGTCCCCAGTGAGACTCCTCTACAGCCTCCAGGAAGGCATGCTCATAGCTGTCCAGCCCCCCTACTACCCTTAATGGGGTTCTGCTTCTGTTCCCCCCAGCTCTCAGCGTCACCAGGCACAAGGGCTCTGGGGGATCGTTGGGAGGCCAGAGCCCATCCTCCAGGAAGATGAGGCCCCTGGTGCTGGGGGCTCTTTGGAGCTCTTCCTTCAGAGTCTCCGCCTGTAACACAGCCCCCATGGTCACCAGCAGTAGTGCCAGCAGAGAGAGGGGTCGCCCCTGCATGGCGGTGCAACAAAGCCTGGAAGGCCCTGCTTATATGTACGGCTGAGCAGGAGTGCTTGGGAGGGGCACCCCTATCAACTCTGGAAGTGACCTTGGGGGACAGTGCCTGGCGCCCAGTATGCCCAGCAGGTGGGAGGTGGCCTTCTCAAAGGGTTTTCTGTCCTCAGAGACAGGCCCACAATTGCAGAAACCACAACTGTCCTTGAGTAGCTCCCATCTGTCTAGGGAGCCCACCTGGAGGACTCACAGAACCCCGGGTCACCGTGCCTCCAATGAAGGCATGCAGTACCTGCCCATCCCCTCCAGCCCCCAAAAACACATAAACCACAATGCAGACAGGGAGACATGGGGGAGGCTGTTTAATGGACTCAGAACAGGACAAAATAGAAAACTTTTCAAGGACTGGCCCCGGGAAAAGGCTGCACACAGGCAGCAGGGGGTGCTGGGGCCATGACTCAGTTGCCTGGGGGAGGGGGAGGCATGTTCCCAGGGCCGTCTGAGGGGAGTGGAGGCCTTAGCATGGGGGGCATAGGAGCTGGGTGCACCCCAGGATTTGAGGGGTGAACCCCTGGAGGCTGAGGGTGGACTACAGGTGCAGCAGGGTGGACCCCAGGAGGAGGCTGGGGGTGTACCCCAGGTGCCTGAGGGTGGATGCCAGGAGCTGGGGGGTGCACCCCAGGAGCCTGCGGGTGAACTGCAGGAGCAGGTGGGTGTACCCCTGGAGCCTGAGGATGAACTCCAGCTGACGGGGGAGGGTGGACCCCTGGAGCAGGCGGGTGGACCCCTGGAGCTGGCGGGTGCACTCCAGGGGCTGCTGGGTGGACCCCTGGAGCTGGCGGGTGCACTCCAGGGGCTGCTGGGTGCACTCCTGGGGCTGCTGGGAGCACACCTGGAGCTGGGGGATGGACTCCAGATGTTGGTGGGTGGACCACCGGTGCTGGGGGGTGTACCCCAGGAGCAGGGGGATGAACTCCAGATGTGGGTGGGTGGACTACTGGGGCTGGGGGATGGACCCCAGGAGCTGGTGGAGGCATCTGGGGAGGTCCAGGGGGCCCAGAGGGAGCAGGCCCGGTGGGAGGCATAGGGGGCAGAGGCAGGCCACCAGGCGGAGGTGGGGGCAAGGCATCTGGCAGTGGTGGGCGAGGAGGCAGGCCATTCATGAGTGGGGGTGGGGGTCGCTTGACGCCTGGGGGTCCAGCTGGGAGGCTGGGTGGGGCAGGAGGCTTCTCCATCTTAAAGTGGAACTGAAGAAAAAACTGTAGGGGAGGAGGGGGAGGAGGGTCAGAGACTGGAGTGGGGAGAGGGAGAAGGAGTACCATGCAAGGTCTGCGGAACCTCACCTGCTTGGTCTCTCGGTTCCAGTGGGTCCAGAACTTTCCCTCTGCCTTGTCGATCTCCCGGCTTGGCACCTGGGAGAGGAAAGCAAAAGCTGCAGTACCCTGGGTGGAGACCGGGACAGACAGACAGCCTGATCCCAGCTGCTCCCTCTCCTGTCCTCGCTGTCACTACCTTGAAGGCAATGGTCTCGTAGGGCTCAGCAGCCATGAGCAGGTACTGCCAGCGGCGGTCCGGGGGCTCAATCCTCTGCTCATAGGCAGACATGAAGCGGTGGCGTGGCATGATGCCCTCGGCAATCTCAGGGTAGTCGATCTGTGGGACGTGCACAGCAGCATCAGCACCACATCCAGGGGTCCGCTCCACCCCAACCTCTGACTTGTCCCACCTCACCTGAAACAGCAGGCTCTGCTGGCCCATCTCTGTGTCCCTCTGCTTGGTCACTACAATACACAGGGGACAGGGCTGTTATGTGTCATAGGTGCTCACCTGGCTAGGATCTGAGCAAGAGAACCTAACCCAGCACTTCATGTCAGGGCAGTGTGGACAGCCCTCTGCAGCCTGGCTACACAACTGGCTTTCTGACCAGGCCAGGTCACTGGGGGCCTCTGCTGAGGGGCTCTGGGAGTGCTGACTGCAGATAACCTGCCTCCCCGTCCTTCTGGAAGTTTCTAGTGGGGGATGGGTGCTTATCGCCCACCTGTGGGCTGCTATGACGACAGAGGAAGCAGCGGCTGTGTGTCCTAGGGATGGGTGTATCCTGTGCCAGGGCCCTCAGGGCTCATTCATGTCGCAGCCCACAACCATGGGCTGGCCGACACACACACACACCTTTGTAGCCAGGGCGGCCAATCTTCACAAACTTTTTCACCTCCACCTTGACCTTCTCAGGTGCTGGCTGGGCAGGGGCTTCCTTGGCCTCTTTGGCAGCTCGCCGGGCCCTACAAACAAGAAACATGGGTGCATGGCCCCTCCACCAGCTGCCAAGGCCAAGCACACAGGCGCCAGAGCCCCCTGGCCTTGGAGCTCATGGCCAGGATGAGGGCTCAGCCCCGGAGTCTCCCCAGCAGGGACGGAGCAGGTGGGCACCAATCCCCCGCTGTCCTTGCTCCTCAGTGATCGGCTCTGCAGTGGGGCTGCCGGGCCGGAACACAGGCAGAGGAAGCACGGGACCTGTCCCTCCTCCCCACCCCGCCACAAAGTGAGGGCTTACAAGTTAGTCTGATGTTTCTTCCCTTGGGTGTGGGCCAGGTAGCTCCCCTGCAGAGAGAAAGGAGACAGGTCACTGAAGTGGGGGAGGCGGGACAGGCAGGACAACTCTAATGGGACCCAGCCCATGGGTCTGACATGAGGCCCAGAGTTTAGAGTTTCTTGGAGTATGGGAACCTACGGGGATGCCGTAGCCATGGCTGCACTGGGGAGCAGTGACCCGCCATGCCACCCTGGGAATCTCTCTGTGGTTAGGACAGGCACACACACAGGGAGCTCCTACGGGGGGGTGGAGCCTAAGCTACTGCTCAGCATCCTGTGCAGTTGTGGCAGCTGACTCCACTGTCAACGCGGTCACTGCTGACTGCTCTGCTCCTCCAGCCAAAGGGCTAGGAGGCGACCTCCTGGACTACCAATGGACTCCACAGTCCCTCCCCAGAAGACAGAACCATGGCTATATCTCCTCCCTGATCCCCTAAAATGCAGAAGCAGCCCTGTTGCTGGGACACGCTGACTGCTGTCCTGACACCAAGGTCAGAGAAAAAGGGTAAAAGGGCAGCTGGTCCCCAGGCCACCTTCAGTGTAGAGCCAGAGGCCAGGGCTCACACAGCAAGCTGCACAGAAAGAACTGGACGGGCATACAGTTCAGCACAGAGGCTGCTTACCCAGCATAGCTGAGAAAAAACAAAAAATTCAACCAAACCAGACCAACACTGAGGGAGTCTTCGCTCTGGGTGACAGGTCCAAGGCCCACCAATGTCACCAGTGTAAAATGCCCCAAGTCTGCCCAGCTGGGGAAGCGCATACCTCATTGTTATGCAGCGTCAGGCAGAGTTTGCATTCATAGGATCCCAGATGGTTTTTCATAAAATACGGGTCCTGGGAGGGAACACAAGTACCTGTTAGACCACAAAGCCTGGCTCTCTGAACCCAGGACGGAGGCGTGGTAGGGGGCTCTGTGTACATGGGGACACTCCTCCCAAACCTTGTTGATGTCGATTGTTTCAAGGGCCAGCTGCCGCAGGCGCTCCCTGCGGTCCCGGTTGCTCTCGGAGGAGGAGGCCACGCCCCCACTCCCCGTCTTGCCTCCAGGTCTGTGCTGAAAGTCCATGGTGCAGGCTTGGGAGCTTCAGGAGACAAGGAAAACCTGGGAGAAAGAAGGGCCAAGGATCAAAACACTGTTGATCCTGCTAGGACCGTGGGGTGGCCAGACACTCATGCAGCAGGCAGGCCAGCCATCACTTGTCTTGTATGTCCCAGACTGGATTCTACCTAATCTCTAGGGCCAATGTGAATCAAGTACAGAAACCGCCAGTTTTTGCTAAGCAAGCCTGAGACCCTAGTATCATTTCTTCAAATCTCATGTAGCCCAGGCTGTCCAGAAACTCATTATGTACCTGAGGCTACCTTTTTAACTCCTGGTTCCCCCAAGCATTGGAATTATAGAGGTGTGCCATTACATCAAACTGATTCTTTAGGTGTTATGAGGGGGTGGGGAACAGGCAGAGTCTTACATAGCCTGGCTTGGCTTTGAACTCCCTTTGTGGTGGTGGGGGTGCTGCTTGTGTTTGAATTCTTGTTCTTTCCAGGTACTGGAAAGGTATGAGCTACCTTTGCCTACTGTAACTTATTAAGATGGGATCTCTCTCCATAGCCCTGGCTGTCCTGGGACTCTCCACATAGACCAGGCTGGTCTCAAACAGAGATTCACCTGCCTCTGCCTCCCAAATTCTGGGACTAAAGAATCCCCATCTGACACACAGGGCATAAGGAGTTTTTCCTAGTCTCCCAAGTTCTGAGGGCTGTCCACAGTGCTGCAGAAAGCTCTGTGCCAAGGGTTCCACCTTCCAGGCTCAGTCAAAGCCACCAGGCCATGTTCTCTTGATGGTGGAACACTTTAGACTGTCTGCTGTTTATATGGTTATAACTCAGAGTAAACTCAGTGCCCAGGAGACAAGTGGAGGGCAGTTCCTGTTGTCATTGCTGGAGTCTCATACAGCAAAAGGGACCTTGCAAATCCTACTTATCTACAATGTCACCTTGGAGTCTGCCTAGGAGGTAGTTAGGAGAGCTCAAGGCAGACACTATGAGGTCACTGGTGGTCAGTTCCGAAGGAGGAAGGGACACAGAGGCCTCTGGATGTTGGGAAAATGAGAGGATGTGCACTCAAGCTGTGAGCTGGACAGACTGTTGGTCTGTTTCATACTCAGCCACCCAAGGACTGAAAAAGGGAAGCACTGTCCATATCTTCAAAAGTCACCAGGAGACACACTCCCAAATTAGATGGAGTTGGCCAGATGCAAGAGCAGAGTCTGCTCCCCAGAATAAGAGGGCACCCAGGGCAGTGACAGGAGGGAAAACTCCTTTGACTTCTGGCAAAGAGGACTCCCAAGAACATGAGACTCTGGCCATTCTTCCAAGGGGACAGGGTGTCCAGCCACAGGCTTGAGGGTGCAATTCAAGGGTGGAGTGCTTGTCTAGTATGCATAAAGCCTCTAGGGTGTGTGCCTGAGGTACTTGCGTGAGCGTACCCACTGAAGGAAAAATTCATCAGTTCTGGAGGGTGGGAGGAAGAAAGGACAAAACCAGCCCGGGAGAGCACAGTCCTTGGTTCTGGAGGAGCAGAGTTCTGCAAAATCTCACAACTGAGCTACCCTCTCAGCCCATGACGAATTTTCAGCCTCAAAAAACACAAGCACTTAATTGTGGGGCCTGCCTTTCATGTCAGCTCGTTTTGGGAGGCCAAGGTAGGAAGATGCCGGAGTTGGAGGCCAGAATGGGCTATGCAGTGAAAACCTTTCTTAAATAAGAGATAAAGGGCGCTGGGTAGGCTGGGGAGTTGGCTCAGTAGTGAAAAGCATTTGTGCCCTTGCAGAAGACCCAAGTTCCGTTTCTAGCACCCAAACTGGGCAGCTGACAACCAGTTCCAGGTCATCTGGCACCCTCTTCTGGACTCAGTGGGTACCACACTCAACATTCACAAACACACATAAAAGATAGTCTGGGGAAAGCAATGTGAACACCGGCATTTATCATTCTGCTTCCTGCCAAGTTCCTGGGACAACACTTCCCCACCAAAGCGAACTGTACCCTTACACTGTGTGCAGTAATAACCCTTTCAAACTAGACACCCAGGTGTGGAGGCACGCGCTGTTCATCCCAGTAGTGGGGAGGCAGAGGCACCACGATGTGTGTGAGTTCAGAGCCAGCCTGGTTCACATTAAAGTTCCAAGAGGGCTGAATTGTGCAGTGAAAACCGTTCGAAATAAATTAAAAGTTCTGCCAATGACTGGAGACGTGCGACCTCACGGCCCACCATAAGATTATCGATAAACGATCGATAAGGGAAGAAAAGTGGTATTTGAGAAGGTGCTGCTCTGGTCCACTTTGGGAGGAAATACCGTTATCTTTTAATCGCAGCAACGGACCTACATAGGAGCAGCAGTCGCCAGGGCCCTAACTAACGATGAGGGAAAGTGAGGCAACCAAGGACGTCAAAAGACTCTCCAAGACCCCGAATCACACCAGGGGCCAGACGCGCGGCGGGAATCCCTGACGCCGCTACGGCCCAACGGGCCTTGCGAGAGCGCGCTCTCAGGGCGCGCGCCAGGCCCGAGGAAGAAGAACGCGCTGCCCGCCCCCACCCCCACTTCCACCCCCCTTCCAGGGGCCCCGCGGTCTGGGCAGCCACCACCGACAAGCCGCGCAGCTCCTCACCGGCGCCCAGGGCCACGATACCCGGGCTTAACCTCCGCGACGGCCACGACTCGGCTGCGCGTACGCGCACGACGGACTTAAGAGATCACTTCCGGGAGCAAATGAGGCGGAGTTTCTTGTGTGCGCATGCCCGAAAGATGGACTCGGTTTCTAGAGGCGCGAGGACAAGGAGTCTAAAGTGCGCACGCTCACTGAGTTGTCCACGAGCTCTCGTTCCGCTCTAAGTCTCGTGACGCTAACTATCGCGACAAGACAGAATCTTTGTTTCACCAGCCCGGGAAGGGGCTTAGCTTAACGTGGGGTGCTATGAATCTAACTTAATACTTCACGTTTAGAGTATCTGACGGTTACCTAGGGACGGGGCTTTCTTTAACTTCCGGCTCTGAGTGCAATTGCGCCGACCCACACGCCAGTGCCACCTTATGGTAAACTACGCGATAAGCTCCACGACGCGCAGGCGCAGTAGCTTTGATGGGACTTCCGGGAACGTTCCCTGAGACTTTTGTGGCGCTGGTTGCCGCTTCAGACAGGACGGCGACCGGGAGTCAGGGCGCGTTTTAGTTCGCACGGATCCCGGCGGTGTGATGCGGTACAATGAGAAAGAGTTGCAGGCGCTGTCCCGTCAGCCGGCAGAGATGGCCGCCGAGCTAGGCATGCGGGGTCCCAAGAAAGGCAGCGGTGAGCGCTTCGGGGCGGGCCGGCTCGATTCCCGGGTGGGCGGATGAGAACAGTTCCGTACTGACAACGCCCTGTGTCCACAGTGGCCAAGAGGCGGCTGGTGAAGCTGGTGGTCAACTTCCTCTTCTACTTCCGCCCGGACGAGGCCGAGGTAGGGGCGTGGGGGACTCGGGGGGCCCGCGCGGCCCGAAGGCCGGCGCTCATGGCCGTGTCTCGCGCAGCCCCTCGGAGCACTGTTGCTGGAACGCTGCAGAGTGGCCCAGGAAGAGCCCGGCGGCTTCTCCATCAGTAAGTGCGCTGGTCCCCACTGTCCCCACCCTGGACTCTGCTCCGCGCACCTGTCTCCCTTTTACTCCCCAGGAGCCTCCATTTGTCCTGGATCCCTCGTCTCCTGAGGACCCAGCCCTGCAATAGCTGATACTCTGAGGGCCCCCGGGTCTGGTCTCCGCTGTCGCAATCATAGTTTCTTCCCCCACCTTCACAGTGCCTATTCTTCGCAAGGAGAGGCACAGCCTGTGCAAATTTTGTTTGTATTAGAAACAATCTCCGCGGGTAGCGCTTCTAAGGCTGAAGTGACACCTGTTAAACCTTCTTCCTTGGCGATCTTTACGGTACCATCTGGTAGAGATTTGGCCCTCATGTCTCACACGGGGTTCTCCATCTGTACTCCTAGTTTTTGCATGTGTATATGGAGGCCAGAAGTCAATTTCTGGTGTCTTCACCACCCCCTTTTAAAACAATACATTTGTATGTACACATACGTGTATTTGTCTATGAGTAAACATGCCACTAAGGCCAGAGGACAACTTTGGTTCTCCTCTTCCACTATATGGGTCCCCGCTATTGAGCTCTGGCCATCAGGCACGGCAACCAGCACCTTTACCTGCTTGGCTATCTCATCCGTCGCACATGGACTTGGTTTTTAGGCTATACTGGCTGGCCAGCAAGCCCTCGGAATCTCCCCATCTGTTTCCTCAGCACTGAGATTACAGGTGCATCCTGCTTTGACATGGGTGCTGGGGCTTGAACTCAGGTCCTCCTGCTTATTATATGTGTGACAGGCACTTTACCAACTAAGCCATCTCCCCAGTCCTATTACCATTAGGGCCGACTCTGACCTCACATCAACCAGTTCATACGTAATTATCCGACTTCCCAGTGGGTTCCCTTTTCATGGGTTCAGGAGTCAGGACTCTGGAGGAGCCAAGCCAACCTGTGACAGGCAGAGAGGATGGCTTGGTAGGACAAGAACCCCAGTGAGAGGAAGCTGGGCCTTCTGGCCAGCAGGATGTGGACCAGGTGGACACCCACCAGAGGTGGCTGGCTCCCTTCCTTTATTTACCCCTTTCTAGGCTTTGTGGAAGACCTCAGCAGGAAGTATCACTTCGAATGCTGTAGCCAAGAGCAGTGTCAGGAGTGGATGGAGGCTCTTCGCCGGGCCAGGTGGGGCTTTGGGAACCACTGGGAGCTGGGTGGAAACATGGGGGAATGTGATCAGTGAGTCTGGCCCTTTTCTCCAGCTATGAGTACATGCGACGAAGCCTCATCTTCTACAGGAACGAAATCAGGAAGATGACAGGCAAGGTGTGTAGGGGTGGGGTGGGGTGGCCCTTCCCTGACCTTGTTCACAGTCAGCATGCACCCCCCACAGGATCCTTTGGAGCAGTTCGGCATCTCTGAGGAGGCCAGGTTCCAGCTGAGTAGCCTGCCTACGGACGGGCGGACCGCTTGTATCGGTTCCCAGCTAGATGTGTTGGACTGACCTTTGCCCGGCCTCTGGCTATCTTTGAAGGTGTTTTTTAGAAATGTCTGTTCAAAGCCAGAGGTCCAGAGGAGGTGGGCAAGGACTAGAATCCTTGTTCCCATGCCATCTCCCTGTCAGTACCCTTGAGTGCCCCCAACTGGGGACTGAGCCTGGCACAGCTCCCCTGTCCGTTATTGGGTGAATGTATCATGCTAGGTAAAGCTGTGAACCCCACTCCTGCTGATAGAGCAGGCCATGGTGCTGGCCTTCAGTCCTGAGCCCGCTATATAATAAAGGTACCCCTTTTCCAAGCCACACAGTGAAGTAAATGGGGAGAGGTGGGGGCACGGGTGGCAGAATAGCTCTTCTAAGAGGTTAGCGGCTAGGCCGGGCTGGGCAGTGGTGGCACACGCCTTCAATCTCAGCACTCAGAAGGCAGAGACAGCAGATCTCTGAGTTCTAGGCCAGCCTGGACTACAGAGTGAAACTCTGTTTTGAGAAACAAAACGAAAAAGACTGGGCTAGGGACACATAAACACTCATGCATGCAGGTGCATATACACACACAGCTTGGGGGACAGGCAGTTCCCAGTGTGCCTGGTACCAGGCTGGTTACCCTCACTGAGGAGATGGGGAATCCTGCCTGGGTTTTGTGGGGGCACATATTAGTGAGTCCTGGGTAAGGGACCCATACCACCTGGCTGTGAGCAACTTGAATGCTGTTGACTCACTGGCTTGAGTTTTCCTCAGGCTCCTCCAGAGCTGTCATAGTCTCTCAAGGGAGGTGACAGTAACCACACAAAGACAGACCACACTAAGAACTGGCTCAAGTGAAAACAGCTTTTTATTACTGTGTCTAGAGGCGGCAACAATGTGTGAGATGCCTTGGGAACCAAGGGAGAGAACAGTGCACCCGTTAAGTACAGAGGTCATTACAAGACAGAGCGAAGCTGCATCAAGTTACAAACAGGCCAGGCTGCCAAAAAAGCTGTGTAGGTTGAGGGTGGGAACCGAGAGGTGTGTCTGGTAGAGTCCCTGTGTGGGCTAGCGTGGGAGTAGGTCCCAGTCCGTAGGGCTTCCTATCAGTTCCTGAGCTCAAGCCCTGCAGCACCCTTGGGCTGGAATACCGGGGACCACTGAGGCAGCCTAGCCCCATGCTAGGACCATCAGCCAAGGAACCCAGGGCCACCGTGCACCATGTTCAGTTTACTACGGGTTCCCCTTTCTTGTGGGCTCAGGAGAGGACTCACAACTGTGCCCGCCTGGAGCACCTGTGGCCCACTGGGCCATGCGGGCCACGAACATGCAGTGTCTGTCCCCTAACACTCAAGTAAGGTGGGGCAGCGACCACTGGAGCAGCAGCTGCCAAGGTGGCAGGTGGTGTGTACAGTGTTCACTCAGTGTCTCGTTCCAGGCCTGGGACTTGCTAACTTTATGGCCGCCCTGCCCTGCAGCACCGTAGCTAGCTGTGGTGTGCAAGAACAGGCCTGGCGAGCATGAGCACCATCACGGGGGGGGGGGGGGGGGGGGGGGGGGGGGGGAGGGGGGAAGGGACACCAGCACCATCTTCACAACTGCCAAGGGAAGCAGGTAAAGGCTGAGGAGGTCAGCATGGCCTCCCAGCTTAGACCACCTACCCCTAACCTGAAGTGAGCAGCATTGAGGGCAGTCAAGACCGCCTCAGCAAGCTAAGTCAGCCCTGGCCCCTTTGCAGCCACACCCAGTGCACCTGTCCCCAGGACCAGGAAGCAACTCTTGGACATAGGCAGGTGGTGCCCACAGTGACCAGAGACCCTGGGTGGCCCAGCACATCTGGGCCACACTCCTGCAGGGCCCCTGACCAGCGCCATTTTTTTTTGTGCATTTGAATAAATAAATGTATTTTTCCTCCTCACTTTTCTTTCCGTTAAAGTTCACTGTGCATTATACAATCTAAAAATAAATGCAGTCAAGTCTATGAAATTTATAAATCTCCATCACATCTCTATAAAATACTGTCACTCATCATGTGACTCTCTTATACACAGATGCCAGGGGACCCACAGTGGGCCAGCCCCATGTCACCTGGCCAGCATGCCCCGAGCCAGAAAAGCAAAGAAATACAAAGTAAATGCACTTGTCACAGGAGCCACTGAGCACTGCAGTAGTGGCCCACACCTGTCAGCACCACTCAGCCCAGCCAGGCACCCAGTCCTGCCCCAGCCCAGTCTGCACCCACAGCAAAGACACGCCTAAAGCCACAGGGTTAACAGCAGGGTGTTCACAGTGACAGCGGGCGAGTTCCGAGGAGGGAACAGAAGTCAGCCCCCATCGTGCATGCCTGGCGTGCCTTTGGTATCAGGACAAGCAGTAAGGGTGCGTCTGAGAACTGTTTGGCCATGGTCCACATCTGGGGCAGCACCCGGGACAAAGTTGGAGATGGGTGGGCATGGGCTCGGTGGTGAGATAGCACCGGGACGGAGTCTAGAGTCCTCCTGGTGGCCAGCCCGGCAGGCCAAGTCTTTATATGATTCTCTCTCACAGACACTTAGGCGTCCCAAGAGGTTGCCTTGGACGACTTTGATGGAATAAAATAAGTCAAAATTGCTTATACTTTAAAAAAAAAAAAGATAAATATTTTATCTAAAACTATTGACAGTACAAACTGGACCAGTCCAGCACCTCCTGCGGTGCCGCCAATTCACAGTGGCTCCACGTCCGGCTCCGCCGGCCTGGCAGGCAGCAGGCTTGGTCCACACCATCCTTGCATAGGTCGTGGCTGAGGTAGAAGTCCTAATTACCTGCAGGGAGGAGGAGCATGGGTTAGGTGCGTTCAACATGTCCTCTGTGGCCGAGCTGCCCCACAGGACGCGCAGGCTAGCTGGAGAGCTCTGGCCCTAGGACCTCCAGGTGCAGCTGTCAGGCTGTCCTGCACTCAGGCTACGGCTACCACATGGCCATACCCTACCGCCATGATGATAGCAGGTCAGGGTTTGACAGCCGCTGTTCAAGGAGAGGCGGACAGCTCCCTGAACCTTAAATCCCAACTCTGCTCAAGAATGCCCATGCTACCACCCCAGGCAGCTTTCTGCCCGTGGACAAAGTAAGTCTGCAACCTTACCCACTGACTACCCCTTGTTTCCTTTGCACAGGCAGGCTGGTGACAGATGCCTTAGTTCAGAGCTAAAAATGTGACCCCAAAATCAAGGACTGCTATGGGCCAGGAGTCTTACAGTAGGTTGGGGCTACCTTGGCTTTTGTGAGCCACATTCGAGTCCCATCACCTCAGCTGTCCTCTCAGCGGCTGGATGAGGACCAGGTAGTTCTGCACAATGTTGGCCCTGCTTCCCTTAGTCCCCCTCCCCCATCTCCACGACTCAGGACCCCAGGCATCTGGCAAGCCCTGCCAGCCGTCTTCTGGGCAAGAGGAGGGGTGGTTTGGCTCTAGCCTTACCTTACAGAACATGAACTGCTAGCTAAGCAAGGTCTTTATCGAGGCTTAACCCCCGAAAGGTGCGCAGCATAAGGAGGCGGCATGCCAAGGGAAACCCACACAGCAGATGGCCCCGAGGAGTTGGCCTGTGGGGCGGCGGGCGCAGCCTGCGCCAGGGCCAGCCGGGGCAGGGGCTGGTGGTGCACCGTGAAGGAGGGGCGGGAGACCTTGTGTGGAAGGGAAGCGAGCTTGACAGACAGAGAGGCATTAGCAGGCTGCAGAGAAGCGGCAGAGGAGGGGGGTAAGAAAGCTTTGTTAGCCGGGAGGGAGGCCAGGCTCTGCAGAAGCACTGGCTCCGAGTTAGAAGCCAGCAGCGCAGGTGGAGGAGGCAAGGTGACGTTAGGAGGAGGGGGTGCATGGAGGACAGGTGGCCCCGCAGGGGGCCGGCCCAGGTGCTGAGGAGGAAGTAGGGGAGGTGGAGGGGGCGGCCGAGTCTCGACCGAAGCCGCGGCCTGAAAGGAAGAAGCCGAGGTGCTGGCCGCCGCCTGCAGCGGGCTCAGGCCCAGCGTGGCACTGCTACACACAGCCCCGCTACTGACACCAGCTCCAAACGGGTGAGCAGAGGCAGAAGGCACCGCATGGGTAAAGACACCTGTAAACAGGAGAGAAAAAGCAGCTTCAACAGGCAGCACGGTCCAGGCGGGTGGAGCAAGAGGAGCATAGTCACCAGCAGGGAGAAGCAGAAGACAGCGTGACTCCGGTCCAAGCGCAGGCACAAGCAGCAAGCAGTGGGCTCAGTGCAGGGACACTTACCTGCCAGGCTGAGGCCCCGCCCCTCGGGCCCACCTGCCCGCCCCTGCCCAGTCAGGACTGCACCACGCCTGGCCTGTGGCCCAGGCTCCACTCCGCCCTGTGTCTGAGCAGGCCCTCTGGACTCATTCTTGCACCAGGCCGGCTTCCACAGACCGGCCATGAGGCATGTGGGTGGTCACCTCAAACAGGGGATGCCCCAGGAGAAAGAAATGCCTAGTTAAGTGCACCGTAGTCTTCTGAAAACAAGAGGCATGCGTTATAAGGCTAGACAGTCTCCTTCAGTCACACCATGATGACGGCTAGCGAGGACACAGGGACACACTCCCATTGTACCCTCTAGAGGGCTTGGGAGGAACCTCCAAAGCAGCTGGTGAGGAACTTGGAACTAGACGTCCTCCCCTCCTTGCCTACCTCCAACGGTTCCACCGGTCACCCCGGAGGAGAAGCTGCCCATGGTGTGCGAGTTGGTCAGTCGGGGCGCAGCGGATGACACATGCACCAAGCCTGCAGCGGCGGGCACAGTGCTGAACAAGGACTGCAGCACAGAGGAGCCGGCCACAGAGCCCAGGTTGGCCTGTAGGGACATGGGGCCCAGAGTGAACTGGGGCCCAGGGGTGAAGGTGCTGAGAAAGGGCCGGGCAGCCTGGGCAGCAGGTGTCGTACTGCCTGCAGAGGAAGCCACAGTTACTAGACCAGGACCACCGAGGAGGCCACCTGGAGGCACGGCTGCAGCAGAGATGAAGAGGTTGTGGCCACCCTTGAAGTCCAGCTCACGGTCACGGCCCTTGCCTGCCCTGCTGCCATGAGGCAGTGCAACTTTGTCCGCAGACCCACACAGGGGCAGGGCCTCGCCTGACTCCTTGCCTGCGTTGCCCTCGCCCTTCAGGCCACCCAGGCCCTCTGGTTGCCGCCTGCTAAGGAAGGGATTAGTCTCTGTGGTACTATCCTTGCCCCGCTGTGATGGGAAGCTCAGGCTGGCCACCTCAGGGCCCTTGTGGGAGAGGGAAGCACCGTCGTTGAAGCTGTGTAAACCGAGGTCTGCAGCGAGGCCCCCATTGAAGGCCAGGCCGTTGGGAGGATTGGCGCCAGGGCTCGGGCCCTCGGCTGCAGTCAGAGAGCCGGCAAAGCTTTTCCTTGGGTGGGTAGGGAGCTTGGCCTCAGTTGCAGGCTCCTCCAGAACCGGCCGGAAAGAGAACAGGGGGCTGTGGCTCAGTGCAGAGCCAGCCTGCAATGGACTGTCCACGGCCTTGGCCAAGCTGAGGTCGGAGATAGGTGAGAAAGTGGACTTCCATTTGCTGCTGTTCACAGGCTCACTTGAGGGTGCAGGCTTCCTTCCCACCAAGCCACCACCTGATGGGAGAAGTCAGTGGCCATGAGCTGAGCCTGGGGCCTGCTGCTTCCTGCAGTGGGGAAGTGGGCTGTGCCTACCATGTGGCTGACACACATTCTACTAGGCAGAGGTGATGAAGAGATGAGGGGCTCATGCACTATGAGACTTCTCTCGTCTGCCCCTCCCAACTGCCCATGCACCAGATGCAGTCCCAGGCTGGCCTGTCCTGAACACGGGGCACCCCCACACCTCCAGGCTCCAGGAAGGGAGCACATTACCATTTTCCAGCGTCTTCGGAGGAGATTTGCTTTCTAAGGAGATTGTTGCAATTTTTCTTTCAATTCTGTGCAAAAAAAACAGTCACCGATGTATGAATCTAAGTGCTCAGGGAGAATCTGAGAACTCGTCCCACGCACAGCTCAGGAAATGAAAGGTCCAAAGGCTGCCCTCTGTCCCGTGTGGAAGAGTCAGCAGCAGTACTAGGGCTGTGTCTGTTCTGGTGGGGACCCCAAAAGGCCTGTGCACAGGGTGACAACTATGCATATAAAGCAGGGTGGCCTGCAGGAGCTTCCCTATTCTGAGCCTTAGCCAACCTGGAGCTTAATGCAGCAGAGGCCCAGCTCACAGGTGACACACACACCCACGATGGTCTACAATGGGCCTTAGGAATGACAGTGGGCAGCAATCTTAGAGCACATCCAAGTCAGAGGCAAGGTGTGACCAGAATTCACACTCGCAGTAGTAACTCCACTGTGACACTTAAAGGTAAGCTTGGGACCGCAGTGATGCACAACAGTCTGCAGTGCAGCTATAATGTAGGTGGCAGAGAGGGGCATGTGATGACTTTACTCAGGCTAAACACCTAGAAAGTCCCCACAGACCCCACAAGCAACACTCCACACTGCTCAACAAGAAAAGCAAGGTAATACCCATTGAGAAAACAGCCTTGTACCAGGGAGGTCAGGATTGAAAGACAGCTAATGGAGGCCACTTGGCCACACGATAGCCTGCACCTAATCCAACCATCACCCTGCAGAGCTGCCCCCCAGGACTCACCGGGTACTGCTGGGCTCATCCTCAGAGCCTGGTTCCTCGTCTGAGGTCAGTGGTGAGTAATGGGCCCCATTGGTTGGGCCCAGGGGCCGCTCCTTCCTGAGCACCGGGGGCTGATCGTGGTCCTGGTAGGGGGTGGGGGAACTTTTCAGGGAACTCTCAGGGGATGAGATGGCTGTGATCTCCAGGGGCTGATTGATGTTGCTGACCTGCGGGATCAGGGAGGGCAGATGAGCCACAGGCCCAGGCCAGGGTTTCGGTGGCACCAGAGGTCACATCTAACCCTTGAGACCTCTGTAATCACCAGCTCCTTGTGAGGGTACAGGTGGGGAGAGGAGAAGGCCAGCAGGGCTGCACACCAGCCACTGTCCCTGCCCTGTACTGCCCAACGGCCCACACAAGTGGTGCTTCCCCACCCTGCAGGGACAGGCCCTACACTTACCATGGAGTTCAGGTTGAGAGGAGACCCCGATGACTGTGTGAAGAGGCCAGCGACAGTTGGCAGAGCTCGGCGCTTGGGGGACACACCCGTGCTAAGGCTGAGGGTTCCAGCTGATGCTCGCTTCCTTCTGCTGCGTTTACGACTGTCCTGCCCATGGCTCTGTACAGAGTCCCCACGGGTGCCAGAGGTCAAGGGGCTGTGTCTGGTAGAAGGTGATTGCTTAGAGCTGGAACTGGCTGCAATGCTGAAAACAATCCTCCTCTTAGCTTCATTCTCTGGGTCTGAGACGGCAGGGTCAGAAGGCAGCTCCCCCTTGCTGGTATCCGGCAGTGGACCTTGGGCGGTCACACTCAGTCGGGGACTGGTCGAGAGTTGGTGGGCAGGAGAAGCAGGGCCAGAGTTGCGGGGCTGCGGTAGCAGAGGCGGGTGCTGTGGTGGTGTGCTGCGAGAGCCCATGGTGGCAAAGAGGCTGCCAGGGCCAGAGGACTCATCAAAAACAGCAGTTTCCATTCCAGAGGCCACAGGTGCTGGGCTGCTGGCCAGGGCTCCACTGATGGCCACCGAACCAGTGTAGAAGCCTGTCATGAAGACACCAGTTAATCAAGGGAGGCAAGGAGGCCAAACCCACTCTAACAACACCTCACCCTGGGAGGAACAAGCTGAGGTCAGTAGCGGCTTCCTAGGGTAGACCAGGGCCATAGCATGGGTAAGTGTGGGCAGGCTAGGCCCAGAGGAGGACTACATCCCGACTTCAGTCATCTGCAAACACCAGGGCACACTAGCCACACTGGGTGCTGTCCCTGCTGTGAGCCACCTGAACCTCTAGGAAACAGATGACGTCAGCACACAACAGCTTTCTAGAACTGTTCCAGACCGTAAGCATCCCTAAAAAAAGTTGCCTGGCCCTGCCCTAGCCCAAAACAAATCAACAGGAGAGAGCTAGTCCTCTGACTTCTAGTCACACAAAATCCTAGACTCAAAACCTCAGAGTTACCTGCTGGGTGGTTATCCCAATGGGATCGTCTCCCCAGAGAACATGGCACCTAGCAGGAAGAGGTCCCTATGTGGTGTGTGTGGGGGAGTCACCTGTGGGTGCCAGTGTGAGGCTCCTGCTCCCTGCTGCACTGCCCCCTGCACCATGGGCGGAAGCACCGATCTGCTTTTCAAGTGTGGCTGAGGAGTCTCGGGGCTGTGGCCCAGGGCTGGGAGTGCTCCTCTGCAAGAGAAAACCTGCCTAGTCAGGGCAACAGGAGACAGTGGGGCAGGAGGACCCAAGAGGGGAAAGAGCTGGGTTAGGCCTGAGAGTCCAAGCAGAAAGGTCGGGTCACATTCAGTTAACGAGGGGTGCGACAGGCATGGGGTAAGGTGGTCAGGTGTCAAGGCCAGCCACAACTACATGGTGAGTTCAAGGCCAGCCCAAGTCACACAAGACTCTGTCCCCAAAATAATGCAGAAGGAAGGCAAGGCTGCAGTTTGCCCAGCCTGCCCTCCGTGAACACCGGCACTCCCAGGATCCAGCCATCGAGGACAGTAACCCAGGGCCGTGCCAGCCACTGCTGTTTGAGTGGTTAAAACCCTCTCGAGAGGGCTTTGTTGTTTCTTCTCTGTTCTGTTTCTTAAAAAATATATTCAGAGCCCAACTACATGGCAACAGAGTTAGCTGCGGATGCTCCCTCGGCAATCCCCGTATGACCATATGCTCAAACTCAACAGCATCCGACAGAGACATAAAGACTGAAGTTGAGCCTGGAGCCCTACCACAGCCAGCACAACCACAACCATCACAACCACCATGTGGCCCAGCACACTCACCGCCCTCTCGGCACGGCTGGGCAGCACCACACTGGCCAGTGGGATGCTGACGGGCAGCTTGTTGGGCTGCACTGTGCTGAGTGGAATGCTGACAGGCAGGCTGGTGATAGTCTCCCCATGGCTGCTGTAGGCACGCTCCTTCACACCCTGTCAACAGATAGGCGTGCTCAGCTACAGACTCACTGCAGAAGCCATCCTCAGGATATGAGCTGGTTAAGGATGCTGACCAATCTCTCTCTGTTTCAGAGACCTGTCACCCTGGACTGCCTGGTCTCCCAAATTCCTCTCCATCTCTCTACATACAGTGGAGGCTTCAACCCCCTTAGTCCCACACTAGATCCCCGAAGCAACTGGCTAAACCCCACTCCTGCATGTAAGCACCTGAATTCCAAGGACATAGAACCACCCATGCGAGGCTGACACACCTGCCTCTGCAACCACTCCATGAGGCCTGTGGACACTAATCACCATCTCTTCCCCAGGTCCCCAAACTAAGCTTCATACATCCTACGGATGCGAATGCTCTGTGGAGTGAATGCTGCAGTTGCCTGGCCCACTCAGGTGACTTCTTTCATTCAGTCCTTACCTTTTCACTGCCCTTCTCTGAGGTGAGCGGCGAGGTTGCGGGAGAGGCAGGCAGTGGATCCTGGGGACTGAGCTTCATGCTGTTGGACAAGCTAGGGCTCTGGTAGGGAAGGGTGTTCTCCTTGGCATGCTCTGCCCTGCAATGACAGGTCAGTCACCCTTGCTGAGTTCACAGCAAGCAGCCCACGCCCAACAGTCTCAGGGCAGCAGATGGTAGCACAGCCCCTAGATACATCTGTACTTACCGAGGGTGCAGCTCACTGGCAGCTGGTTTGCTAACCCCAGTGTGGTCCTGGCTCAGGTGCCGCCTCAACACAATCTTGGCAGGTGACAACCGGGTGTAGTCTGGCAAAGTTACTCCAGACAACTTTTCTAGCCGAGGCCTGCCACTGTGGCTGGGGGTGCAGGGTACGACCTCCTGATCCAAGGGGGAGGCCAGGTACTGGGGGGTGTTCTGCTTGGACGAGGGCCGACTAGCTGTGCTGCAGAGCTCGAAGCCGGCGGCATGGCCGTTCATGGAGAGCTCGGGGCTCATGCTGCTGAGGTGCGGCAGGGAGATCTTGGCACAGTCCAGCTCAAGTCGCAACCGTCCAGCATCGGTCTCCAACTCACGGCCCAGGGCACCCTTGCCACGCAAATGCAGGGACAGAGCGTCATCTGATGGCACACAGGACTTCAACTGCAGGAGCTCCTGCTGTCGCTGACTCTTCTCCAGCTCCACAATGCTGATCTACACGATGGGAGATGTGTCAGAGCAGCCTGGACTGCACTGTGAGGCCACACACACCCCTGCTGTCCATCATCACAGATGCCCTTCTGAAGGTGGGAAGATGGGGTCTGGTGCATCACCCCAACACCCCACCTGCAGCTCCAGGCAGTGTCGCTGCTTCTCTGAGATCTGGCTCCGCAGGGCCTGTTTCTCTTTCCGCAGGTTCTCCAGAGACAGTGTGGACCAGTCCAGCCTCAGCTCTTCACACCGGGCTCTGAGCTGTGGGCACAGACAAGATGTCAGCAGCTGAAGGCAGGAGAGCCTGTCTCTCTGGGCAGTACACTGAATACTTCCTATAGTTGTGGCACATGGTGTCAATACCCACCCACAAAGCAAGGTGAGAAAGGCCTGTGTGACACAGTACAAAGGGTCCCTGGTATGATCAGGTATGGGGTGATCCTTGCAGAGTCCAGCAAGAATGTGGAGGAGCAATTCCAAGTCCAGCGCTAAGGCACTAAGTTAGCATACTTCGGGGCTCTTGAGTGGGAGATCCTGCCCTCCATCCTCCATCCTGCCTGTGTACAAACTGGTTGCACCACCCCCTACACACACACACACACACACACACACACCAGTTGAAGGCTCTGGCTCCGCAGCTCACTGTTGTCCTTCTCGAGCTGCTCCGACTGCTCCCGCAGCTGCTGGTTGTGGGCAGAGATCTCCTTCTGGGCCTGAATCAGGTCATTGTAGGTCAGCGCCTTCACGCCCAACTAAGGATGCAGAGGACAAACCAGGGTGAGTCCCAGTGCACAGGGAATAAAGGAAACGATACTAACCATGCAGCTCTGACCTGGGTACGGCCAGGGCCACCTTCTGCTTCCAAGGTGGCCAGCTACTCTATGTCAGTCCTTCCATAAGGATAAGGGAAGCTGAACTTTGGTCACCCCAGTCACCTCGTCCAGTTTCTGCTGGAACAGTCTGTGGATCTCCTCCTTTTGGGCTTGGCAATAGCCGAAGAGCTGCTGTGCGGTGTCCAGCAGCTGTGTGTTCTTCTCCTGCAAGGGAGGATGGGGGCAGGTGACCTCAGAACCCACCAGGAAGCCCCGACCCAACTACCACATTAAGGTGGAGCCCGCACACCTTCTCCTGGTCCAGAAGCTGCTGCAGGTTGGCCTTGTACTGTGGGGTCTTCGTGTAAGCCAGGAACTGCAGGTACTGGATCTTGAAGGATTCTGGAGTTATATAGACAGTGTATGAACCAGGGCTGCTGCCAATGCCCTTCCCTGAGAGGAGCAGGAGTGGTGGCCAACAGACAGGAAGCTACCTGACCTGGCCTGCTGCGGGGACATCCCTGCCTGTGATTTTACCTCTTCTCAACCCCAAAACCCGAGAGCAGATGCCTCCTTCAAGTAAGAGATTTGCCAGCATTCCCCATGGAGTGAACCTCTACCAGGCTCCCCCATGTCCCTGAGGTGAGTCAGTCTCATTCATTCACAAATAGGCAACAAAGCCTCCTCCACACCATCCAGCAGGCTTGACTAGGGCCCTATCACTTCACAGCCCCACAGAACTGCTTCAAGATCAGAGCCATGACCCACCTAAAAGTTTCTGTAATGCAGGCGGGGTGGGTGCCACCAGCAACGGATTGGGGGAGTGGAGCTGCGTGCTCGGAGGTAGCTGGTAGAACGGGCTATGAGGTGCCCTGTACGCATCTGCAGGAGAAAAGATTCCCCATCAGTCACCAACCATCGGTCCTATACTACCACAGGCAACACAATACCTCAGCTTGGCAAATCTGAGTCTTGATACTGCTGTGGCATCCAGATCCCTACCAAGCACCCTCTACTGTGTAGTCACAGGCTTGGCACACAGCAGAGCCCAAATGGCGACTCTAGTGTGCAGGAGCCCAGTCACTTGGATGGGGACTCTGCCACGCAGGAGAGAAAGAGGCTCACCCTGGGGTGAGGCTGAGGGCGGGGCTGGGGGAGAGGAGTGCAGGAGGTCCAATGCACTTTGGCTCTTCTTGGACTTGCGCTCAGCGTTTGCAGCACTCATTTTCTTGGGCCGTCCACGTTTCCGGCCAGCCATTTTCCTCCCTTTCTTGTTCAGTTTCTTCTTCCGGGCTTTGGAGGGAGATGGCTTTTTAACAGTGGCCACACCTGACTTTTCTTCCTCAGCACCAGAGTCCTAGAGGAAATAGGCAGGCAGTGAAGGGCCAGCAGGAGTACCCCCAGGGCGGCACCACTGGGCACCCTATCTACCAGGCATGTGCAGGGAAGGGCATCTCACCGCGGGGGCCTCTGTGGAAGCTGCCTTGCTCTCTGGGACCTTGGTGGGGGTGGTTGCATTACTCTTGTTCTCGCGCTGCTGCCGGCGCCGAGCTGCTTCCTGCTCCTCCTAGAGGGAAGCAGTGGAAAAGTCCTGAACATGCCAGAGGCTCCATCTCCACTCCAGCATCAAAGAAATGGCCACACACACACACACACACACACACACACACACACACACACAGACACTGGGAGAGGTGCAATGCCTAACCTGGACCCTACAGTCGCTCTGCGGGTAAGGCATGAGCCTGTCATGCGCTTGCAGCCCAAGACTATCCCTGCACTGACAACTGTAGAACCACATGGCAATGAGAACACATAGGAAATGCCAGCCATCATGGAGACTGCCCCACTTGGCAGGACAGATACAGTCTTTAGGTTAGGCAAAATCAAGCCACTTGTTAAGGGCCTATGGCACAACATAACCAGTGCTGACTTGAACCCAGTGCATGCACCAGTGGAATTGGGGGTTGAGGTGGGGATTCAGCCCCTCACTGAGTATATACACACTGTTCACCATCTCTAGTATGCCGGGCAGGATGAACTCCTTGTGGGTGTGCAGCAGCCTGCCTACACTCCTGTAACCCCAACAGCCCACCACTTCACCAAGTACCAGCAGGCAAGTGCTGTGCTCTGCTATTAGTGCGCACACGGAGTGAACAGACATTCGTTCATGCTTCCCCAGGGAAAGTCACATGGTAGCCCATCTCTTTGTGTCCCTGGACAGACAGGCAAATGTGCAGCAGATGTGACTAGAGAAGTGACTGGCATGGAACAGACTACCCAGTCTTCTAGGGTGCTGGATACAGGCACCCTCAACTGTTGTACACAGAGCTGGCATGGGAACCCACAGCATGGTTTAACAGAAAACCCGCTGGTAACTGGCATCTACAGAACGATGGATGCTAAACCCACTACAGAGCTGAGGCCTTCAGAAAGCACGGGAGGTAGAAATAACACTTGGTTGGGCCTAGGGACCTTGGTCACACATACCAACAGCACACACAAAGCCAGCCACCATGACCCTCATGAATGTCACAGTTGGGAGAGATGCAAACTTACCCTGAGTTTTGGATTTTTCAGACTAGAAAAATAATTTTCAAGCTAAAGAGAAGAAGAAAGAGCTTTGTTAGAAGCGAGCCCTGAGCATGGACACAGGTGGCGCACAGAGGTGCCGTGTCCAACAAGCTGCCAGGCCCACCAGCAGATACTGCAGGTGGCAAAGCAGGAGTAATATACAACTCAGGGTAGCTACCCTCGAGTTGCAAATGACTGCTAAGGAATGACTGTCGCATTCCTTAGGACAGGACCACCCGAGGGGGACACTGGCTGCTATACTGCACAGAGGGAACTCACACTGCAGTTCAGGAGTCTTTAGGGCCCCTTTACCTATAGCAGGAAGGGCAGAGCACAGCTGCTGCTGGCTCAGGGAGGGCACAGAACAAAAAGCAGAATTGCCAACACACTGCCTCAAGGAGCCCAGAGGTCACCAGGACAGATGGAGAACAGAGCCTGGGACCATACACAGAAGGCCCTGGCAAGGAGAAGATACCCTGTGGGGGCCATGAGGAAGAGGCCAGCACACACCCAGGGGAAGGCTGGGGACAAGGAAGATGACAGAGACCACAGGTATCTGAATATGATGACAAAACTACTATGGCCCCTATTCATCAGGTGGACTAAGGGCTGAGACCTAGAGCTGCCAGGGAGCATGGCTGTGACTCTCCCATTCTGTAGGGTGACAAGCGAGGAACACAGAGTCAGCGTGCTGTACTGCAGCACTGAGGACACTCACTATGGTGCGGTCAATAGTGTGCAGGTAGTAGGAGACGGGCTTCCCAGTCCATGACACGGAGCCCTTCAGGGGTGACAGCTCCACCACACGCATAATGGTGCCGATGTCTGTGGAAGAGCAGCAAGTCAGGACTGTGGCAGGAGGCCTGAACCCCACACCAGTGTCAACAGCATCCCCATAGGTAGGAATAATTTGGGGCCTGTCAGGAACAAGGTGGCGAGCACACATGAACGAGATCAGGCTTCAAGAGCAGCCAGCATCAAAGCAAGCATGCAGACCCTGAATTGGACCAGCCAAGCGCCTAGCCCAGGGAGACCCACAGGAGGGCTGGCCACCTCATCCCAAGGCCCCTCTTGAAGCGACATGTCTACAAGGGGATTTGTGTAACATACTGTGGGCAGAGGCTGGGGAGCAGTTAGTTGAGCGCTCTCCCTGTAGGGCAGAGTACCATCTGACTGGGCAAGGGGAGCCAGGTACCCTATGCACCACTGAGCCCAGAGCTTACCACTCAAGTTCCTGCTGTTGATCCTGAAGTTGAGAGGGGCAAAGGGCTTTGAAGAGACGATTCTGCCGCCTGCAACACAGAAGCCCATCACTGCCATGTGTAAAAACCCACACAGGCACACACAGCTGGAGACCACAAACTCAGGTGTGAGCAATTGCCCAGGACTGAAGACAGGTGAACAATGCCTGTGCCCAGGAAATGCTAGGCATTCTTCACAAGACCCCTGGTGCTCATCCCTGACCCTACAGCCATAGAGAACAGTGACTCTACACAGTGGTGACAACTGGCTAAAAGGGTCATGGTGGAACCCAGAACCACAATAAGGCACAAGAAAGAGATTGCTATAAGCCATGTGTTACCAGGAGGGGGAGCTGAGCCTGCCTTCAGCGGTTCCCTTAGAAACAAAGGCACTGAGAGGAGACCCACAGGCAGTGTAGCTCAGAGATTATCCTGGCATTCCAGCAGCTGAGAGAGGAGGACCATCATGAGTCTGAAGACAAACTGAGTGAAGTGGCAAGATCCCAGTTTTTAAAAAGAGACAACAGAGAAAGACCCAGAGAACAGGGCTGAGAAACTGATTGGCTGCTGAAGCCCTTGAGGCTGGAGAGGTGAAGGCAGAGGCTGGGGCAGGAGAGAGGAATCAGAACTGCACCACAAGAGGCCAAAGAGCCAAGCCAAACCACACAAAGATTCAAACCCGTGACAGCCACACAGGAAGAATAAACTTAAAACATGGTAGCCTAGGTGTGGAGGCACATACCTTTAATCCTAGAATGAGGCACAGAGGGGCACATCTCTGAGAGTAGTCTAGCCCGGTCTACATAAAGAGTTCCACTACAGTCAGAGCTACATAAAGACCTTGCCTCAAAACAAAACCCAGCCTGATTGTGAATGGTGTAGATTCTTTCCATACAGAAGAGAAGTATTGGGGTGGAGAGGGGAGAATGAGAACATCATGAAGCCCAGGCCAGCCTAGGAGCTCTAAGCCTCCTGCCTTGGCCTCCTGATTACTAGAACAACCCTGAATCCCACACCCATTGATCACTAAACAAAGAGATTCAAAAGACCGCACTAGCATAGCGATACATGTCTGTCATCCCAGCAGTGGGGAAGTTGAGGCAACAGTGTTCTGGGACAGCCTCAGTCACACAATGAGACTCCTTTCTCAACACAAACACACATTTCTCTGAATGTGTACGCAGCTGCTTATATTAGTAAACCAGTCTCTAGCCCCCTCTATGTCCTGCTTTCTGAGTACTGTCCACCAGCAAAAGGGCTGGCCTGACCACAACAGGGTCAGCTTCATGTCTCCAGTGTGCAGAAAAGCAGCAAACACCAATGGCTAAGGCTGAAAGGCCATGGGCCAGTCTGGCCAGCACCTGTGAGCTGCCCTAGGCGGTGATAGGAATGACCTGTAACCACCGAGCACAAGGGGGCCCAAGGTGAAAGCCTAGTCAAGAGAGGCCACAGGCACATTTTGATTACCATGAATACCCACAAGTGGGTGTTTGTGCTGGATACTTTTTGTCAATTTGACACAAACTAGGGCCTTCTAGGAAGAGAGAATCTCAACTGAGAAAAATGCCTCCAGCAGATTGACCTGCAGGCAAGTCCGTGGGGCACTGTCCTGACTGACTGGTGCGGGAGGGCCCACCACGTGCTCCTGAGGAGTGTGAGAAAGGCAGCAGTAGAAAAGTATCTGAGCCCGAGCTGAGCCAGTTGGTAGTCTTCCCACAAGGCCTCGACTGCAGCTCCTGCCCTGATGTCCATAGACATCATGGTGTCTGTCACCACAGAGCACACCAAACAACACTGCAGCAGTCCACAGGGTGGTCTCCAAGGGGAGGGGCAGAGCCTGACCCACCTAACATCTGAGCACACTAGCTCTGAGAGACAAGTTAATCTAGGACTGGATGACTCACAGTCAAGATCTGGCTCCAAGCAGGCTAATGTGGTGTACACCGCGATAAAGTTAAAGGCCAGCTTGGGCTATATACTGAGTTTAAGACTAGAATGGGTCTAGGCTAGACCCTGTCTAGAATGGGACCGTTTTAAAACACAAATGAAGGGATGAAGGAAAGAATATGAGGCAGGGGTGAAGCTCAGTGGGGGAGTGTCGGCTGAGCACACAAGGCTCATCCCCAGCCCCTCAAGTAAGTAATTCTAAAAGCATGGGGAGGCTAAGGACAGGCCCTACAGCAAACACTCGTCACTTCTGTGACAGCTACAGGGTTGAGAAATCAGGCTAAGAAATTGGAAAGTATGGGTATTCCTGCTCCCTGCAGAGGGACAGCAATATGCAGTGCAGGCCACCTAGTCCTACGCAGGGGGCTGTGTGTACTCTACGCAATGCCTTATTCACCAAAGACTGACAGGCACAAGCACATGTGCAGACACACCATGAGCTCACAAGCAAAGAGCCCTGGTGTTGGTGCTTGCAGCAGGAGACTGCTTCTGAGATGGGCTAGCCCTTCAACTTATCTGCTGGCTGTCTGAGGTACGCTTGGGCACCAGGGCCCTCAGTCACCAGGGCCTCACTTCTGCTGTGCAGCCCAGGAGCTGGGGATGGGTAGCAGGAAGCAGGTGGGGCCTGGGGCTTCCATGCACTACCCATCATGAATAGGGAGGATCACTGAGGACCTCTCAAGGCAAACTGATGTAACTGCATGTTCCCCACCCCCACACTGTGGGACTAGCAGGCCTGTGGGGCAGGAGGGTTGCATTACCTTCCTTCATGTTTGCGAATCGCTCCTTCAGCTGGTGATCCACCTCAGGACCAAAGGCAAAGTTATTCACAAATATAACACTGCAAAACAATGTTTCAGTTCAGTAAAACTGAGGCTGTGTACATCAAGTCCCAGCCTGGACACAGCCTGCTGCCGGTCCCTGCCAGGTGCTGCGCCCCCTCCCCCGCCCACCCATCTGAGGTGAGCAGAGTAAGCAGAAAAGCAGGGGCAGGAGATAGGCACAAACCACCTGGGCTGAGTCCAGCACCAGGCGCCAGTTCTTCTGAAATAAAGTGGGCTTCCTGGAAACACTCCCTGGCGACAGAACCCAGGGAGGTGTGCTCACAGAAGGCGGGGTAAGCACGGGCACGAGCAAATGGAGACACTTGACGAGCAGGCAGGTGCAATATGACAAGCAGGCACCACCACCCGATAGAAAACACAGAGGTGAAGCCCCAAAACACCTAGATCCCCTGATGGACCCCATGAGGAGGACAGCAGTTTGCTCAAGGGGACCGGCACAGGGGCTGCCCGCACTCCATGTGAGATCAAAGGCAGGCCAGCACTGAAGAGGGACTGGCACTCTTGAAGCAGCAGCCCTGCAGTACCCTCCACAGCGGCCAACCACACCTGGGGGGCAAGAGTCAGAGGCCACAGCACAGCCAGCAGCACAGCCCATAGCCGGCCGTACCTCGTGTTGGCGATCCGTTCCCTCCACTCCTCTGAGAGGAAGTCACCTCGTTCCAGCTAAGAAAGAAAGGAACACGTTTACTCATGGGCTTGCTTGGTTCAAACCCAGTCCCCGCAGCTGCTGTGAGAGACATGGAATGAGCTGGATCTTGGGGTGGGAAGGTGACTGTGGACAGCCAGTAGACAACTCTGAAGAGGGCAGGGCCTAAACCCCAGCAGGAAGCAGCCCCCATTCGGGACAGACAAGAGGATGGTGTGGGTCCAGGTGAGGAGCCACAGTGCCAACCTTCTCTGCACCCAGACTGTGCCCCCTTAAAAAAAGGAACACCACACAGAGCTTCTGCAGACCCTACAGATACGAGATGTATTTATGTGGCCAGGAAGCCACTGGATCAACCATCTTGTGACTAGTCATCAACCATGAGGACCGTGTCCGCAGATAAGGTCACCTCTGTGCACCTTGCATTAGTATAGATGTTTGCTGCACCACTGATCCCAAAACTGCGGCCTGCAAACTGTCAGCACTGATGTCATTCCACCTTCTTCAGGCCAGAGTGTGTTAAAGGGAAACAGCTTTTTTTTCCTCCCGTTTTTCTTTTTGGCTTTTCAATACAGTAGCCCTGACTGTCCTGGAACTCGTTCTGTAGACCAGGCTGGCCTCAAACTCACAGAGATCCACCTGCCTCTGCCTCCGAGTGCTTTTACCCTGACTACCTGGAACCAGAGTCCCAAGCAATAAGGGTTTACAATTCTGCAGACCACCTACCACCTGCAGTGCCAGGCACACGACCCAGGAAAAGAGCAGTCCAGTCCGCTCTACATGGAGGTCATGGAGGTGGGGGTAGGATTGTTTAGTTGTTTACAAAACCCAAAAGACAAGGACATTCCTGAACAGATGGACAGACATACAGCATAATCTGTCCATTCAACGATGCCACACTGAGCTGGAAAGTTACTTGGCAATGAAGAGGAGCAAAGATCTGATGCACTACATGCCACGCAGTGCCAGCAACACAACAGGCAAATGCACTGAGCAGAAGTGGATCCATGCGTATCAGAGCCTAAGGGATGTCGACCACGGCTAATGCCAAAGGCCCACACTGGAGTCCCCATGAGCTGTGGATGACAGGATGACAGAGCACCCGCCAAGCTGCAGGCCCGGGACTAACCCCCCCCCCCCCCCCGCTAGGACAAGGCTGTCCCCAGATAGGAGCTGTACAGCCTCCGTCCTCCGGTGAGCAGAGCGGACCTGGGCTGGAGTGGCCAGAGCCCTGCGTGTCCCTGGAGGCTGAGCCAGGGCCTGCCTCTCCTTCAATCTACTCCTCAGCAACCTCTGTTCTGCTGTACACCAGCCAGCCCTGAAGATGGGGGCTTCAGTCATTCCCGAAATGCAGGGGAGCACCTGGGCCTAGGAGACCTGGGCTCTGGGCTCCCACTCTCCCCTAAGTTAAGCACTACAGCAGAGACCATGCCTCCATCTCCCCTACGAGTCTGAGCTAAGCAGAGAAACCATGTCCCTTTAAGCCCTGGGTGCTGGGTTTCTCTATCTCTGGATGAGAACAACCTACAGTGTGTTCTAAGACTCCTAGGAAGGACTCTGCAAGCCCTGATGGCCTCCCCAGCTCTGCTGAGTGCTTTTGCTGTGGCTGACCTCTGGGTCCTGCAACGTGGTTGCACAGACAGCCACAGGCTGGCTCCACTCCAGGAACCTGAGGGATGCCTGCTGTGGCCTCTGGAGCTCCCTGTCCAGGACAGACCTCTCATCCTGCAGCTGTGTCAAGTGTGGACCCAGCATTCCTCTCCCTGCAGGCCCTAGTACTGTCCCAGTCAAGCAGGCCATTCCATTAAGTTTGGGGAGTCAACTAGCTGCACCGTGTGTGAGGCCAGGGACTCTCAAGTCCTAACCATCTGGCCCAGGATAAAAGCACAGGCCTGAAGCAAGGTGTCTGTTGCTGTGTAGGAAATCTCTATATACTCCACCCTGCAGGGAGGCCCCTTCAGACAAGGAAGTCCCTGAAAATGAGCAGATGTGCTGGGCCCTCCCTCCCCAGGCATACAGGAGCAGTAAGGACTGCTGAGAGACTGTCACACCAGCCAAGCAGCCGGGGAGAGCCACCTGGAAAGGACGCTCTCCAGCCTGCCATGCTGCCGCAGGCCATGCAGTAAGCTTCAGGTTCCCAGCTTTGGGAGCCGTCACCCATGCTGGGGTGGATCTTGTGATGTAGCTGTCTTTGAGTCATTTCTGCTTCTGTAAGTAACCCCTCACCAGCACTTCTGTAAGGAACCCCTGGAAAACTCGAGAGTTCTCCAAGCAGGGCTTTATTGGTTCTATATCTGGGAAACATTTGTTCATATCCCCTAAGGAACAGTGTCACAGCTACATTTACCAACATGGAAAAGGAGGGGAACAGCACACAGCAGGTTAGCATCCATGAAGCAAGTGGGGAAGATTGACATAGGCCCCACAAAAGTCTGGGGAGGGTCAAAAAAGGTCACCATGGGTGAGATCCAGGAGGCCATGGTCAGACAGACTCAGCCATTGCGAGAACCCCATCAGCTCAGTCTGGAGAGCAAAAGAGCAGAGGTACTAAGGTCTGTGGACACAGTCTCAGATGCATGCCCATGGGACACCTTGGCACAACTAACTCCCGTGATGGGGATGCCTAGGCAAGCTCTAGCCAGCATTCCAGGAGTAAAGGCTATTCTACTCTCTTCCAGGGTCAGGGGTCAAAGCCCAGAGACCCCTCTGAGAAGATGAACTGCATACAAAACTATATAGTCGGGGCTGGAGAGATGGCTCAGTGGTTAAGAGCATTGCCTGCTCTTCCAAAAGTCCTGAGTTCAATTCCCAGCAACCACATGGTGGCTCACAACCATCTGTAATGAGGTCTGGTGCCCTCTTCTGGCTGCAGGCATACACACAGAAAGAATATTGTATATGTAATAAATAAATAAATATTTAAAAAAATATCTGGTGTAGCATTTATTTAAAACACACACACACACACACACACACACACACACACACACAAAACTATACAGTCACGGCTGCCCGGGCAATGGAAAGGCAGGCACACTCTGAATACAGGAGGTTACCAAGACTGGGAATGTTAGGAAGCACCGCCAGCAGAGATGACCATGGTTCAGGGTCTGCTCCAAATTGGCTAAAGGACCATGGAGGATGAGGGAGGGGACGCCAGACTCAATTCAGCCACTGGAGGGAGCATGTCAGCAGACCTGGCTGGGGGCAGCATCCAAGTGGCCACTGCAATGGCGGGTGGCAGCATCCCTGGCACAAGGCAGTTCTGGGCCAGAAGAGTCCTCTGGGCTATTTTTAGGGTCCCCTGAATTTTCTCCTGCATGCTCCTGAATAGCAGAAGGCAGGGCTCATGGCTTTGCAAAATCAAAGCTGCAGTACTGCAGGTGCCTAAAGGCCAGGAAGGTGCCTATGCAGCCTCCTAGAGAAGGTTGGTGGTCACTCAAGGTGCTGTGGGAAGCCAGAGTGGACACAATTAAAGGCAAAAAAGTTACTTTCTATTTCTGCTGCCAGGTTGCTTCTGATGGTCACCAAGGCCTCAAGAACAGCCCTTGGCTCGACTGAGAACTCTACATGGTATGTGGAACCCATAGGCCCCACCAAAAGTGTGAAGAGTCATCACAGTTGATTATGAGGAGAGCACAATGTCTCAGAAATCCAGACCCGTCTCCTGGGTCCCAGACACAGTATCAAGTGGGCCTCTCCTAACAGATTCCCAAGACTCTCACGCTTGGGAGACTTCTACCAAGAAGACACGAATGAGCTGGGATTATTGAAGGAAGGGTGACACACAGAGCAAGACAGAGTTATCGCCGTGCGGTCCGCTGCACACAGGACACAGGCACCACAGACTGCCTCTACCAGCCAGCCCAGAGGATGGCCTAACCAGATCAAGAACCCAAGGGTCCCAACCCCTAATGTCACAGACTACACAAAGGTGCAGCTCATTAGGGGTGCACTTGCCCAGTCTGGAGGTCTCAGCTCCTTAGAGTTGAGCATATGCTGACACAGCCCAGTTAGCACATGTCTAGGAATGATGCCCAGGCCAGGGAAGCAGGAAGGGCAAGGCTCAGTTGGGGCTCTGTAGCTAGCTCCAGAGACTGTGCCCATTGCCACAGAGGGCCATATGGTTACTGGTCAAGACTGACTGGGGTCAAGAGAGGAGGGGAAAGGGGGCTGGGCTAGGATGGAGGCCGCGGGCATGGAGCGATGGCACTCACTGTGTATTCTGCATGCTTTTTTCCATACCATTTCATCCACTTCCTGAACTCTCGGTCCATGGTCTGAGGAAAAGAAAGCACACAATGTTATAAACTCAGGAAGGTTGAGGCGGTGGAGGGTCCACAAGCTCTGCAGGATCACACCAGACAAGGTACTGATGCCTATCTACAGCGCCCCTGCTGTGGAGCACACAGTGGTGGGGGACACCCAAAGGAGAGGCTATGGGAGAGTCACAAGTTCCCAATCCTCCAACAGAGCCCCAAGATCAAGAGCCTGAACCCCACCCTGGGAGGAATAGATGGGGTGTCCACAGGAAATATGCACCCTTTCAACTCATAGAAGCTCAGCAACATTCTCTCTCCAGGAAGGGGTGGCCATGTCCCGCCAGGAGAGCAGGATGTGCGTATCACGAAGCTCTGCCGAGTCTACTAGGGACACAGGCACCCTGCTCAAAGGTGCTGGGTGTCACAAACACAGAAATGCTTGGCCTGAAGGAGCTCTACCCAGACACAAAAGCCTGAAGCACTGTGCACTCGTGACTGCTCACCTCCGCGTACTTGGCTGGGATGTCCGCTTTCTCCACTCCGTAGTGATGTTTGCAGTTGGTGGCCGCAGCAACCTGAAGGACAACCTGCCCCACACCTTCAGCCAGAGAGACACAGGTCAGAGTCTGTGTGGCCCCAACAGAGACCCAGTAGCCTCAGCCACATGACAATGTCCCTTGGCATCAGAGTAGAGACCATTCAAAAGCACAGACCTCCCAGCAGAAGATGTTTGCACCACTCTACAACCCATAATGCGATCTGTGAACCTGCAACCTGCCTGCTCCTGTGTGGGGACGGCTGCACAAAGCTTAGCAGCCCCCAGGAAGTCACTTCTTCACGTAAGTCACCCCCGGGCCAGCTAGCACCCTGAACCAAACAGGTCTGCTTGAGGATGGGAAACAAATAAGAAATCCAGAGGCTATAACCGCCAGCGACTGGCACCTGCTGGCCCTACGCAGGAAAGTCAGGCCTGCCAACACTGCTTCATGACATCAAGGGACAAGCCTAAGATGACCCTTCACTTGGCAGGCCAGTTTCACATTTGAGATGGTACATACATGCCACCTGATTTTCTATGCTGGGCAGTGTTTTCCAGTAACAAGCAGCTCAGAACCATAGAGTAGAGAAGCCAGGAGACACACCACATAGTGCCTCAGGAGACATAAGGCCTGGCCAGGGGCATCTCCTCCACAGTTTAGCAGGGCGAGCCCCAAAGCTACAGTGCCTCGGGAGGGGCTCTAAAAGGTAAGGGACCCAGGAGGCTCAACCTCCAGGACTGGACCAGCAGCTTCTAAAAGAACTGGAGGTGAAGCTGGGCCTTTTCAAGCCTTTACCTCACAACCATGAGGTATGGGAAATAAGTCCCATGCTAGACAGTTTTACGTCAACTTGATACAAGCTAGAGGCATCTGAGAGGAAGAAGACAATGCCTCCATAAAATCATATTAGAGGCAAACTTAGGGCACTGGGCATTCTCTCTCTCATTCTCTCTCTCTCTCTCTCTCTCTCTCTCTCTCTCTTGATTTTCAAGACAGGGTTTCTCTGTATAACAGTCCTGGCTGTCCTGGAACTTACTCTGTAGATCAGGCTGGCCTTGAACTCACAGAGATCCGCCTGCCCACCTCCCTGGCCTGGGATTAAAGTCAAACACACCACACTACACCCGGCACATTTCGTTAATTAGTGACTGATGAGCAAGGGCCCAGGCCAGGGAGGGCCCAGCCCATTGTAGGTGGGGCTATACTGGGTTCTATAAGAAAGCAGGATGAGCAAGCCATGTGGAGCAAGCCAATAAGCAGCATCCTCTATGGTCTCTGCATCAGTTTCTGCCTCCAGGTTCCTGCCCTGTGAGTTCCTGTCATGACTTCCTTCAGTGAGGAACAGTGATGTGGAAGGATAAGCCAAATAAACCCACTCTTCCCCAGGTTGCTTTAGGTCATGGTGCTTCGTCGCAGCAATTGAAACCCTAGGATACCATCAGAACTACAGCCAGCCATGCAGGCAATCCAGCAGCCCCAAGTGTGAGGCTGCAGAGTGTGACCAGAGGCCTCAGGAATACTGCTCTGGTTGAGAACCCCACAAGCCAAGACCCATGGGGTCATAAGAAGGTTCAGGGGCTGTAAGGAGCCAGTAGGATTTAGGGTGGAAGCCCTGAGCAGAAGCACTAGTGGTACCAGAAGCCTCGGCTAAGCCAGTGTCCGCCCTAAAAGGTCCTAAGAAGTCCCTTGAGCATTCATGTGCAGCCGAGGGTGCACTGAGAGCCAAGGACAGCTCAAAGACTGCTACAAGACACTCACCACTGCCCAGGTCTACAAACAGGTCATCCTCGGTCATCTTGATCTCGTCGATCATCTGGGCGACCAGGTCAAAGGAGGTCTCCCCATACACCTCAGGGGAAAAGGGCTCGTAGTTGTTGAGCTTCTCAGGGTCAGTCACAGAGTGGTTGTACACCTGCTGCAGGATGTGCCGCAGGAGCCCATTGGAAGGTCGAGTATTTAGCTTCATGGGCTGTGTGGTGCCCTTCCACTGGGGACAAGAGTGGACATGACCCATTACACTTCACAGCAGGCGGCAGCACCTGCCTGACACCCAAAACTTGGGAGGTTGAAGCAGAGAAACACTGTCAGTCCAAGGCCAGCCTGGACTACATAGTAAAATCCTGTATCAAAAAGGCCACTAAGTGGTGTAGTAGCAGATGCCATTAATCCCAGCAGAGGCAGACAGATCTCTGAATTCAAGGCCAGCCTGGTCTACAGAGCAAGTCCCAAGACAGCCAGGGCTATTACACAGAGAAACCCTGTCTCAAAACAAACACAAAAAGGGGTTGGAGTGTGGCTCAGTGGTAAAGAGCCTACTGAGGTAGTCCCAAAGACCACAAACAGAAAACAACACATAGCAGCTGAGTGCGCCTATGAGTGCACAGAGCCAGTTCTGGCATCCAGGCTTCTGTGCGACCCCTCCATGCCAACTCAGGCACTCCATCTATGTTATCACATAAGGTCAACTCCAACTGGACCTGGTAAGCGTCCTTCCTGACTCCAGGCTCCCTGGCAGGTATACCTCCTCCCAGGACATACCTAGCCTTGTGGCAGGGTCTTGAACTCAAGTTCACAAGAAAGCAGTGAATAGCTAGCTGCAGACTCCAACTGCAGTCTCTGGCTGGCCCTGCGAATACACACTGGCACACCCTGGCACTCATCTACTGATCTTAGCCACCAGATCAAATTCCCTCAGGGGAGAAGGGCTTAACCCTTTGTCTCATAGCCATGGACACTCTACCAGCCAGTCATAGCACTGGGACAGGATGTGATGAGACGGGATAGTCCAGCTGAAGGGGCCAGGCCCCACATCTCTTGCTGCCCCACAGGAGCCCTAATGCAGCTGATACAGCTGGTGTTCCTCCGGTACAGTGATGAGGGCAGGACCAGAGCCCAGTGGGCCATCACTGCAGAGCTGCATGAGCGTTTTAGCCCAAGGAACCATAAAGCTACCCTGTCCCAGCCCAGCCTCTCCACACAGCCCCACCTTCCACCGAGTGTTCCCTGACACCACAGATCCCCACAAGGGCCCAACACCTGCTAAAAACCCCACTGCTCCTGTGCCTCCTAGAAAGACCATTACCTGGGTGCTCAGTGGTCAAGCTTTGCTGCCTGCACCCAGTTTGTCAGCTAAGGTGGGCAGGCAGAGCACAGCTTTATGCAGCTCTACTGTGAGGAGAAACACACCCCAGCAGGTGGAGCACAGGCTTATGTGACCCTATTGTGAGGAGGACAACCCCTCCCAGCAGGTGGAGCACACTACAAAAAATCAGAGTAGAGGCCAGAGACTCAAAGACAGCCGCAGGGCAGAGGGAGGCAGGCTCCCAGTTCCAAAGGGTGCTGACTGTCTGCACCTCTGCTGCAGCATGCAGAGATGGGCAGAGAAGCAATAACCCCAAAAAGCTACTTGAGAAGCTGGCTGGGGTAGCTGGGGCTTAATGTGCTGCCACCCAACTCCCTTATCTCATCATGCCAACTGCCCTCCCCACCATTCTTTGACAGCAACCAGGAGGTCCTAGTGCTTGGCTGCCCTGGGAGGTCCAGAAGTCAGCATCATGCAAATGCACTGGGGGGGGGGGGGGTTGAACAGCCTCACAAGTGCGGAGCCACCTACCAGCTGGTGGATGCTGTCGATGGCTCGGTTGTACTTGTCACACAGCCTCTGCATGCTTTCAAAACTGAGAAAAAAAAGAGAGGATGCATCAGTGGGCTGCAATGTGCCCAGCTTTCACAGGCTTGTAGGGCTGGGCAAAGCCTCTAGGAAGGCATGGGATTCCAGAAGCACCAACACGGCAGGCCAGCAAGAGGCTGCATGCTGAGACAGTCTCCAGCCACTGGACCAAGTGCAAAGGCAGTCTGGACAGGTCTATATCCACGTGTCAACTTCATGATCAGACCATGTCACTAGATGAGGAACTCAAGGAAAGTCACTGTGAAGACTGTTCTAGGGCTGGGGAGATGGCTAGCAGCTAAAGTGCCTGCTGCCATATGTGAGGTCCTGAGCTCGAGCCCTCAGAAGACATCTGTGGTCCCATGTTTCTAAGACAGAAGAGGGCGAGCTGGCATGTGTACCCAGGAAAACCAAGGGACGGTCTCAAACAAGGCAGAATGTGGACAGTCACCCAGACTTCCCTGTCCTCTGAGTATGGTGTCCCAAGCGCGCGCACACCAACAAACACACACACACACACACACACACACACGCGCGCGCGCGCACACACAGATGAGAGAGACTAAAGAGGTGACAGAGTACAGGCCCTTACATGGAAACCAACACACCACAGGAGCCCAGGATTTCAGCAGCAGTCAGGGACCCTGTTCCCTACAGAGCCTCTGAGGGCCACCCCCCCTCCTACACAGCACTCACTGCTTTAGAGCACATCTAGGTCTCTGAGCTACTGAGCGCCTGAGAAACCCTGGCCCTCAAGGCAGAGATATGCAGATCTACAGGGCTACACTGTGAGATGTCTCCAAAAGAGAAAAAGAAAGCAGAATTGGGGTTGGAGAGGTGGCTCAGTGATCAGAGCTCTCACAGAGGATACATGGTGACTCACAACCATCTCGGGGACATGACTCCCTCTTCTGACCCCTGTGGGCACTGCTCACACACAGGACAAAGACATACAAGCAGACAAACATTCACACTCAAAATAAAAATAAATGAAAATGGGTTTTTTTTCTTCTTCATCTTTCTTTTTTTGGTTTTAAGACAGCCCTAGCTGTCCTGGAACTCACTCTACAGACCAGGTTGGCCTTGAGCTCACAGAGATTCACCTGTCTTTGCTTGCCTAGTTCTGAGATTGAAGGCGCACGCCACTGAAAGACCTGGATAAAACCAGACCGCCCCTAGCAGGAAAAAATAGAGCCAAAATTCTAAGCAGGGAAGAGAAGAATCAGAAATCTAGGATTAGCCAGTTCAGGGTTTCAGGAACTAGATGAAGATAAAGGTAGATTGTAATCTTGAGAATAACCTTGAGGAACAGGGAGTTGCCCCCTTGTGGATCCTCACTGGTATTTTCTGTGACACCCTCCCTACCCCTACTGGATTACTGGGCTGTGGTTTCTTCCCGTGAAAACCCCTTCGCCCAGCTACTCGGGGTCGAACTCTTCCCCTGCGTGGGTTCTGAGTCTCGGGCCCAGTGCACTGGTTTCCGTCTTGTCAATTAAACCTCGAGTGACTGCAGCAAGGACGGTCTCTCGTGAGTTACTGGGGGGTCGTGTTACCCCGAGACTCGAGTGAGAGTCTCCCCACACCGTGGGTCTTTCACCACCACACACAACCAAATGAAATCTTTTAAAAAGGAAACAAGCAGAGCGCCAAGGAACGTGCGGGCAGAGGAGCCCAGCAGTCTCTGGACACCACGTGGCCCGGGGAAGGCTGACTCAGTTAGGAACTGCCTCTGGGAGGACTCCTGCACACTCTGGGCACTAGGTGAGAAACTAACTCCATTTTGAAGGCAGGAACCATTATGCTTCACTTTTAAAAATAAGTTTTCTATTTACTGTGAGAGTTAAGTTGCTCTGTTTCCGGGAACCTGACCTTCCCCAACCCATGATCTCCATTTGTTTATGTAGAATACCCTCCCTGGCCCTCCCCACCCCCCTTAATCACATGGTGACTATGGGATTTTTTTTAAAGGTCTCTTTGTATTTCCTTCTTGCCCCATTGTCTCCTTTCTATAAATCTATGAGTGATTTTATTTCTTTAAAAGAGTCTAAGAGGTGGATTAGGAGCTGCCTTCTTTAACTTGACTTAGGAGGCAGTCGCTGGCCAGCTTTTGTGTGCACTGCAATAAAAATCAAGCTTGCTTCAAAATTGGCCCAAAGTGGTCTTATTCTCGCTATTGAGATTAACACAGGCAGCAGAAGCATAGTTCTGGGGACAAGGGACCACTCCACACCCTATATGCCCAGTAAGATTCTAAATGTCCAGAGCCCACAGGGAGTCCCATGCTTAGGGGTAGGGTCTCTGGGACACTAATACACACAAGCAGCTTCCTCCCCATTGAGGCCCTAGCACTCCAGCATGCTACAGTGTGAACCAGGACGGGCCAAGTCAGTGTCTTACACCTTTCTATCTCAGAAGAGACCCAGGCCAGCCAGCAGCAGTCACAGATAGAAGCACAGCTCCCAAACTGAAGGTACTATGGACTATGGAAAAGCCAAAGCACACACAACCACAGTCCTAGCTATTTATGAGTTGAGTCTCACGAGCCCAGAAGTTTGAGGTCAGGCTAGGTAAGAAGACCCACTCTACTATCAATGGGACTGAGGGGTCCACATGCAAGGCCCTGGTCACATTCCTCGCATAGCAAAAGTAAAATTCCTAGAGGTCTAGGAACTCCTAAAGTATGAACTCAAAGGCAGTGAGACGGGGACCATCCCAACTCCACAAGGACAGAGGCCTCTGTCCTGGTCACCCAGCTGTCCATGTGTCCTTATCATACACCAGAAAGGTAGGTTTTTGTGCCTTGTGTGTCCAGAGAAGGAACCTGTGGCACAGGAGGGCTCACACAACCAGAAGCAGAGGCCCACCCAGAAGACTAGTCCAAGGTCACCAAGGCTGACCAGCGCAGGAGTCCTTTCTAATAATGAGGTCAGAGGTCAAGCGAAGCTTTACAGGCAGAGTCCGGAATGAAGCGGAATGAAGCAGGCTCTGAGCAGGAGGTGGAGCCTGGGTTGGCCTTTCTCAAAGGAAAATAAACCCCACACCAGGCAGCATTCCAGGGATGCCGGCTCTTCTCCACCCATTCTGTCCAGGAGGAGAGGGTGTGGGTAGAGACTGGCCTCACCCACACCTACTTATAGTCAGGGCTGAGAACAAATGTGAAGTGGACCCTGGCAGGACCTGCTGCTGTAAAAAGGCCCTTAGCTCCCTCACCAGCCCTGCTACTCTCCCATACATCAGTTCAAGTTTGTTCAGTGTGGAGTTCCCAGGGATGGCCTCACTCCACCAGCTAGATACATACTTCTACCAAGCTTCCAGGAAGCTTTACACAGATGGTTGACCAGGGTGTGGGCAGTCAGGAAGTAGAGCCAGCAGTCCACTCACCCTCTTCCAGCTCACCTTTTGGTGTCATAGTCGATCAGAACGTAGTTCTCCATGGCCAGCTTGAGATCTGGGATTTCCTCACAGACCCACCTGAAATGGAACACAGAGCTTCTGTTGGCCTAAGCCCCATTCTCCAGATTGGCGGGAAGGGGCTACTGTGAAATCATACAGATTTTTATGAGGCCAAGGTCAAACAGTGTTGGCACTTGGAAAAGAAACAAATTCACGTGTTATAGTAAAAAGTAAACTATCAGCCAGGCCTGGTGGCACATGCCAGCCATCTCAACCAAGGTGGGTGGGGCTAGCACACAAAAACACCAAATTCTAGCCAGACTGAGCTACACAATGGGACCTTTCACAGGGGGAAAAAAAGGTGGGCGGGGGTTTCTGGCAAGATGTCTTTTCTTTTTTTTTTTTTTTTTTAACCATTTATTTACTTATTTATTTAGGTGTTTCGCCTGCTTCTGTGTCTATATGAGGGTGTTGGATGCCCTGGAACTAGAGTTACAGACAGTTGTGAGCTGCCATATGGGTGCTGGGAATTGAACCCAGGTCCTCTGGAAGAGCAGCCAGTGCTTTTAACTACTGAGCCAGCTCTCCAGCCCCCTGGAAAGATGTCTTAAAAGGTAAAAGCAATTGTGCATAAGCCTGGGGCTTACACAAGATGGAAACAGGAACTCCACAAAGCTGTCGTCTAGCCCATCATGTGCTAAGGCTACACACACAGACATATCAACTACACACAAACACAGTAACAATAAAAACTTTGAAGGAAGGGCTGGGTCTGAAAGGAAGATTAGGGGTTCAAGGTCATTCAAGGCTACAGCCTGGGATACACCAGATAGTAAAATTCACTCATTGGTCTTCGAGACAGGATTTCTCTGTGGCTTTGAAGACTGTCCTGGAACTTACTCTTTTACCTATTAATTTATTTGAACTTGGCATTTAATTATTTATTTGTTTATTTAGGATTTTCAAGACAGGGTTTCTCTGTGTAGTTTTGGAGCCTGTCCTGGAACTCACTCTGTAAACCAGCCTGACCTCGAACTCAGAGATCCACCTGTCTCTGTCCTCAAGTCCTGGAATTAAAGGTGTGCATCACCACCGCCCATCTAAAATTTAATTTTTTAAATCATTTTTTTCTTTCTTTCTTTCTTTTTTTTTTTTTGAGACAGGGTCTCCCTACACAAGCATGACTATCCTGAAACTCACTATGAAGATCAAGACTCTACCTCCTGAGTTCTGGGATTAAAGATTTATGTGCCATCATGCCCAGTGGTAAAACAAAATTTTTAAGAATTAAAAAGGGGAAAGGGCTGAAGAGATGGCTCAGCAGTTAAGAGCACTGCCTGCTCTTCCAAAGGTACTGAGTTCAATTCCCAGCAACCACATGGTGGTTCACAACATCTGTAATGAGGTCTAGTGCCTTCTTCTGACCTGCAGGCATGCACGCAGAAAGAATACTGTACATGTAATAAAAGAATTATGTAAAAGAAAGATTTAAAAAGAGGGATATCCTACGTTCCTACGTTGGAAGTTGTAGAAGGCTACAATGGCAAGAAGCACCAAGAGGAAAAGGCCCCGTTCCCTGTTCAGTGGAATCTTCCATGCTCCCCAGATTCTTCCTCTATTCCACCCTGAAGCACATCGGTCCCAGAGGCTGCAGTAGGATGAGGTGGACCCAGGCCCACAGGGGTCAGAGGACCTCAGGCGCAGACCTGGCCTTCCACCTTGACAATCTCCTGCATGCCACCGCCTGCACCCAGCTGGCTGGCCCATGAGCTCCCAGACTGCCTCTCTGCTTTTCAGCATCATGGTGGCTGGTGGCTGGCCAAGTCCAGCTTGGTGGCCTCCAGCAGTCAGAGCACTGTCCAGGGAACTACAGTGATATGGTTCTGGTGATGCACTGGACCTATCTGCTGACTACAGGAAGAAAAAGCGCTGAGGTGGCCCCTGAGAGGGTGTGCATCTAGGTCTCCCCGTCTCCCACCTTCTCTGATCTGCTGAGGTGAAGGAGACAGGAAAACACCTGCCCAGAGCCCCCCCCCCCCCGCAATCCCAGACCATCTTGTCTCTGGGCCTACCCCATCCTTCTCCAGGTTCTGTTCTACCTGCAGCCCCCACCTCAACCCACAAAAAATGTCTCAGTTTTAATCCAGACTTTCAAATTTTTTAAAATTATTAGTGCATGGGGGTGGGGTTGTGTGTGTATGCACTAGTGGATGCACAAGCACAAGACAGGATGACATGTGTACCACAAAACATCTACATCTCTGGGGCTCAGAGGACATCTACAGATGGTCCTTTCCTTCCATCTCCACAAGAGGTCCCAGGGATGACAACTTAGGTCTCCAGGCTAGCAACATAAAAGTGCTGTACTCACTGAGCCAACTTACTGGCCTCTTGGTAGCCCAGTAAGTACACACTGTTATCTCCACATCTGAGCACGTAATGGGAATCTAACTCTGTACAGGGTCTCAGTTTTGTGGGTGTACTGGGCTTTTCTCCCACTAATCTATGCCCACTATTTTGGGAGCTTCAGAGGGCAGAGGCTCCTAAAGTAGGCCACCAGAGACAATCCAACAGGCAGCCGCCCTGGCATTGTGTCTCTGCAGGAATCAGGATGGAGCCCCCCAACACATACACACATACACACACACACACACACACACACATTCAGCAACATCAAACCTTAGTGGGCCTCACAAGCTCCGATCTTTCTCCAATTCCCCGAAAGGTAGGGACTAATGAAGGAGACAGGAGAGCACAGAGACACTTCCCCCAGCTCCATCTCACAGGAGGCTGCAGGCAGAGGCTGAACATGAGGCCTGAGTCATCCCTGCCATGGCAGGGGAACAAACAACTGAGGTTTTCTCTGACAAGCACAGTGTGTGGCAAGGGCCGCGGCAGGCTGCCCTGCAACTTGATGCCCTACACTACTAGCCACTTGAGGAGGCCTCAGTGAGGACAGCCTCAGGAAGCAGGTCGCTTGGCCTCCATGCCCCCCACTTACCCCATGCAGCACTCACCGGATAGTCTCAATAATCTCATGAGCAGCATCGTGGTGCTTGTCCTGAAAAAGAAAAGGCTGCAGAGTGGGCTCCTGGCAACCACACAGCAACACCCCACTCTTGTTCTGCGGTGCAAACCCACAGCACCTGGACCCCACAGAGATGCTGACCCAACACATTCCCCAGAGCTGGAGCCTGACTCAGAGCTTTCTCTCTCTGCAAACCCGAGAGGTGTCAGCAAGTCCTACAAAGTCCCATTGGGCCAGTGTCCCCATTGACAGAATGGGAAGCAGACATCACAACCACATCATTGTGCTGTGCCTGAAATCAAGCCTGGCCCCAGCATGACCACTCAAGGCCAGATCTCAATTTGTCCCCATTAGAAGCCCAAGGATGATGCCAATGACACACTGAAAGACACAGAGAGAAGAACGACAAAAGGAAACAGGAGAAACAATGCTACCTCCCACCCTTCTCGGCTGGCCAGTGGCCCCTATAAACTTTCCACACACCCCCTCACTGACTGCACACTGGCCTAAGACCTTTGTCAGCTCCAGCTCCATCATGGAAGTGAGCTGCAGGATGATGAAGACCACAGGGAACAGTGCCTCGCGAGAACAGACACACGAACACACGAACATCATGTCTAGGTTCCCCGGGGCACAGGATTCCTCCCAGCTCTGCCAAAGTCCTGGTCATCACCCCCTGCCACAGAGGAGCTATAGACTTCCAGTGCACCCTGTCCAGGCCATGAACACTGGTGTGTGGGCCCTGAGTGTCCCCACAACCCTAAGTCTCTAGACAGTCTCCCACTGTGGTTGTGTGGAGGTGACCCCACTTACACAGGGCGTTTGTGGGGGAGCATAGTAAGTATGGAAGTATACCCTACAGGTCTCAGGAAGTTTGTGAAACTTCCATGATCCACAAGCACTGTGAGAGAGACTGAAGCAGGCAGTTGGCCAAGTCTTGCAGGGAACCCCAGAAAACTCTATGCTGGGGTGTTCTTTCCAGTGCTGGGCTGTCTCTGAGTCACCTACGCTCAGTAAATAACCATAGTGAACTCATGGGTCGCCTAAGCTTCACTCTGTGGGATTAGTTCTGCGGTCTGTGGTTGATGCCCTGTCTGGGGTGAGGTGACAACTGCCCATGCCTCCCCAGGGAAGACACACAGCTAGGGCAAACTGTTACCCAAGTGCCTTACCTCTACACTGTGTAACAACTGTGTATGTTCATATGCTACTTCTGCCATGAACACCCAGGCTCCCTCTCTCTGTCTTGTCCACCCAGACACTCCTGAGCACCTGGGCCACAAAACAACAAGTATCCACTGTTGTGGTGCCGAGCACCGCTGGAGAGGTAGACCTACATCATGCTACACCATACCAAGCCACTCTCTGGGTACTCAGTTGCTCATCTCAGGCAGTTCTTACAGTTCCCAGGCAAGCAAATCACCACTCACCACAAGCTGAGACTCATAAAGGTCTTGGAATTGGGAGAGGGAGGCTTAAGAGGCAGTTCAGAGGTTAGAGCAACGCTAATCTGGTAGACGACGACCCAGGTTCAATTCCCAGCACCCACATGATGGCTCACGACAGTCTGTAACTCCAGTTCCAGTGGATATGATGCCTTCCTCTGGTCTTCACAGGTACTACATGTACACGATGCACAGACACATGTAGGCAACACAACTATACACATAAAATTAAAAAAATAATGGACGGAAAAAGAAATGTCTGGTAGCAAGGTTACAAAACAAAGCCTGACCTAGTGGCACACACCTGTCCCCCTAGCACTCTGAATGGTGCAGGCAGGTGGACTGGGAATTCAAGGTCTCCTGAGCTGCCTGGAGCTCAAGGCTGGCCTGGAATAAGAAAGACTATCGAAAGGAGGGGGTAGAGGCAGGCTGGGCATGGTGGCTAGGGCTAATCTAGGTAGATCTCTGTGATTTTGAGACTAGCCCAGCCTACAGAGATAGGACAGCCAGAGCAGTTACTCAAAAAATTCTGTTTTCAAGCAACAACAAAAACAGTAAATTAAAATTAAAAAAAAAAAAAGAATGGGGAGGGGAAGGGAGGAATCCACTTAGCTAGGACGATACTGGGCAGCATCAGAACACACTGCTGGTCTTTCTTTTATGGCCCTCAACAGAGGGTCTGGAGCGACACGCCTCAGCAGCAGATGCTCACCTGTCATGCATAAGGCCGTAGGTCTCAGCCAACACAGGAACACTGGTGCAGGCCTGTGCATTCAGGAGGCTCAGGCAGGAAGCTGGGGATTCTGCAGGCAGCCTGACCACTCAAAGCCTCGCTCACGCTCTGCCAGTTTCCAACACTATGGAAACCCAGCCCTTGGCTTTCTGAGTCTCAAGGTTCTCCTGCCTGCACCTCCCAAGCACTGGTACCAAGTGTTGGGATTACCTTGCAGGGTTTTTGTTTCGTTTTGTTTGTTTGAGACAGGGTCTCTCTGTGTAGCCCTAGCTGTCCTGGAACTCGCTCTGTAGCCCAGACTAGCCTCGAACTCACAGAGATCCGCCTGCCTCTGCTTCCCAAGTGCTGGGATTTAAGGAGTGCATCACCACTGCCCAGCCCTTGTAGGGTTCTTGAAGCTTCCCAGTACTGAGGACCTAGCACTGTTGTTTGTTGGGCCCTACCATGTCCACAGACAATCCTGAGCTGTGCACACTAAGAGGCAGATTCTGTTCAGCTATGGCTACGGCCATTCATTGGTCTCTAGGAAAGGATAGGCATGCAACCATCTGGGAAGGGAGTATTCTGGGCACAGCCCCAAGAGCCCGAGTTTCTTAGAGGTGCTGATCTCTTTATACAGGGACAGCCCCTACCACCAGTCATCCTCTACTGGTTACCACATCTGACATAAGATCAGGAATTCACTGCTGGGTGGCCAAGCCATTTTATCTTTTTCTCTCTCCCAGGGCTAGTAATGGAGCCCTGAGTCTTGTGAACACTAGGAAGGTCACCTACTGAGCAATTTCAGTCCTTTTGGATTTGTAAGCAGGATCATCCATGTAGACTAGACTAGCCTGAAATGCCTAATCCTGCCCTGGCCTCCTGGAGTGCTGCTGAAGTCAGGGACATGTGCCAACCACACTCTTCTCACCAATATCACAACAGTCCGATTCTTCCACAAGACATCCAAGTGAAGCTGGACATGGTGGCACATGCCTTTAATCCCAGAATTTGGGAGGCAGAGGCCTATAGTTCAAGGCCAGCCTAGTCAACATTGTGAGTTCCAAGACAGCTAGGGTCACACAGAGAAAGAAACCCTGTCTTTGGGGGAAGGCGAGGATGAATCACTCTTATGTGGTTTCCCAAATAACATCACAGCAGGAGTTACACAGCAAGCTGTTAGAGGCTGTTCCAAACTTCCTCCTGGATTTGCTCCCCCCAGTGACTATCGGTTGCTCAGATGAAAGGCAAAATGACCAACAGAGCCAGAAAGAGCAGAGACTGCACAAGGACAAGAGGGGCAGGAGCGTCACACAGGGCTGTGTTCAAGGATCAGCACAAAGGAGTCAGTCAACACCCCATCCCAACCTGAGGAAGACAGAACATGACCACAGGGAATCCCAACAGGCAAACCAGAAGCATGCATCCTGTAGAGAAGCCTGAAGAGTGACCTCAGGCATTAGCAAACATGGTCCCACATGAAGGGGGACTAAGGATCCTGGTTCCAGATGGGCAGCTCAGTCAGATGTGCAACACCAAACGTCCCAAACATTGTACCTCACAGGAGGAAGGAGACCATTAGAAAGGGCCATGGAGATATGACACACACAGGCTGCCTGATGGGCTGCCCCAAGAATCGCACCACATTCCAGACACGCATACATAGAAAGAAGAGAGTTCAATACAGAACTTTTCTGCTAGCTTTGGAGTGGGAGTCTCACAATGCTATCCAGGCTGGCCTCCAACTCATGGGCTCAAGCAATCTTCCTACACCACCCTCCCAAGCAGCTGGAACTACAGATATACCCAGCCTGGAGAACGTTTTTTTTAGACTTGACCCTGAACTCTAAAGTCCACAAAGGGACTCAGGGCATGGCCAGCTCCTGGCCACTAATTCACAGCACACACAGAAACACTTAGCTTCCTACTGCCTGCCTTCCTGAAGGCAGGAGAGATGGGGATTCAGAGGTCCACAGAGGTACAAGTGTCCTAGCTCAACTACCAGGACAGAGATGAGGCCACAGAAAGCCTGTCCATCTGTGCCAGCTGCCAGCCCTGCAGGCAGAAGAGCTTCTGCTGAACGGTTCATGCCAAGCTGGCCTCTACAGTCTTCAAGGGGGAGTGGCACCACCTATCCAGGCCTAGCAAGTGACATAGGTGAGTCACTTGCTAAGAGTGACTGCGTGCTCACCACCAGGACATATCTTTGGGCCAGGCCACTCCTCCCTCAGGGTGTGAGGGAAAGGATAGGGGCTCAGTTACCCTTGTTTTAGAAGAGTTGACACAAGTACTGAGGGAAAGGCAAGCAGCCCTGCCCAGACAACAGTGAGACAGGGGCACCCTGCACCCTGGCAGCTGCAAGTACCTGGCACAGGAACTGTAGAGGGGCCAGGATCTCAAAGCATTTGCTCTGCAATCAGAAAGGACAGTAACAAGTTAGGCACCCTGAAAGCACCTGCAGCCCAGATGGGGTGTGGAGACTGGGTACTAGAATTTGCTAACTTTCAGCCCAGCTGAGAAGGCTCAATCACCATGTCTAGCAAAAGGCCCAGTCTCAAAGGAAGATGGTGACAGAGGACACATGGCAACCTCTTCTAGCCTCTACACTCCACAGCGCATACCTGTGCACAGTAAATTTTAAAAAAAAAACTATTTTAAAACTACCTGGTGCATATAAATGCACTATCAACCTTGGTGCCACACCAGTTCTTATCAGAGGTCCATCCTAGGATAAAGTTGAAACAAGTCCTACCTTAGACCTGGAACCTCTCCAAACTCAAACACTGCAAGCCAACACAACACACACGCACGCTCGATAAGGTCACAATGTTGAGCTCCACAAAAGGAGACATCAAAACAGGTAATTCTGAGACAGAAAGTATACTCTGTGTGCTGGAACAGATGACTATTCCCGGGGGTGATGGACTGTTCTAGAACTAGACAGTTGTAATAGCTGCCTGACCTGTGAATATTCTGCAGATCCTGACCAACGCTTTGAATGCATGAACTGTACTAGGTGCGAATCAGGTCTTAACAGAGCTGTTTGGGGTACTGAGAAGAAACCCAGGGCTTCCCAAAGGCAGGGCAGGTGCTTACTAAAGAGGGTATAACACTCTCTGTTGTGCACAGGCTGGGCTCTATTCCCAACATGACATAAACCAGGCAGGTAGGTGTCTGGAAGACAGAGTCAGGAGTCCATAGACACAGAGAGAGAGGGGTTGGGGAAGAGAAAGAGGGGAGAAGAAAGGAGATTGCAGGACACTCCCTCCCCCAGTAGCTCTGCCCTGCCTCTAGGACGCCCACTCTACCAGCAGAGCAGTCTGCAGGACCTCAGAAAGCTGTCACGTGTCTTCTCACACTTCAGTCCCAGAGGAGCTGTGTCTACACAGCCCAGACACCTGTGTTTGTCTGAATCAAGCTAGCAACAAGGTGGGCACCTGTACTACACAGGGTAGGAC